ATGAATCACAAAATGAAACTGTATTTCAAATTTATTTACAAAACAGACACGATCAAATTACTCAATAAAGACAGAATAATTCAAACGCCAGATTATACCAGTATGCAAGCACAATTTCAGTTTTACAAAATTCAGAATTCCCACTGATCAAAAAGTGCATAATAAAAAGAGAATAATTTCAAGTGGTGTTCATTGCAAATGTAGAATTTGAAACTAACTTAACAATAAAATTAAATTTGATTAAATTTGAATATAAGAACCATCTATCCTTCTGTATTCAATAATCCAGAAGTGAAAAAAGAATTAGATAGATTACATGATCAGTACGTACTGGTTCCTGCTGACAAAGCAGGTAACAACATTGTCTTTGTTTGTAAGGCTCATTATATTAAATGTATTTTAGAGGAACTTGGATTTAATTCTACAAGTGGTAATCCAACTTATACTCATAGTTCCCTCTCTAAGGAAGAAATTCTTCAAAATCATATGTCAGTTTTGAATATTTTTAATATTCCAAACAACCAAAATGAATTTGAATTACCATATCTATATTGAATCCCGATACTTCATAAAAATCCTTACAAACAAAGATACATAGCGCCAGTAAATGTTCAACCAAGCCTCTTTCTTTACTCCTCACTAAGATATTAACAGTAGTGAAGGAGAAACTTCAAGAGTACTGTGCAACAACATAGTGAACTAAATCAGATGTGGATACTTAAAAATTCCAAGGAACTTTTGGAAAATTTGAAATCACAAGATTTTACCAAAATCAACAGCTTAAAAACTTACGACTTTTCAACTTTATACACAACCATTCCTCACGATAAATTAAAGTCCAGGGTTTTTGATATCACTGACAGCAGCTTTTTCAATAAAAATGGAACTCGTACATTTACTTGCCTTGTCATTGGTCATTTGCAAAATTATTTTGTTAACAAACATTCTGATTGTACACACAAGTACTCTGAAGTTGACATTAAAAAGATACTTGAGTTTCTGATTGACAATATCTATGTGGTTTTTGGAGATCAGGTCTTCCAACATTCTATTGTAATTCCCATGGGTACCAATTGCGCCCCGTTTTTAGTAGACCTTTTTTGTATTCATATGACGCAGAATTTGTCCAAAATCTTATACGTGAAAAGAAGAAAACACTTGCTGTGGCCTTCAACTCGACATTTAGGTATATCGACGACGTATTGTCAATGAACAATGGTTATTTCCATTCTTATGTCGATGCGATATATCCTGGTGAGCTTGAGATAAAAGATACCACAGAGTCTGACACATCTGTTTCATATTTGGATATTTTACTTGAAAAAGACGTTAATGGTAATCTAACAATCAAGCTTTATGATAAACGTGATGACTTTAACTTTTCAATCGTCAGCTTGCCTTACTTATGCAGCAATATACCTTCATCACCTGCATACGGGGTTTATATCTCTCAGTTGATTCGATACGCAAGAGCATGCTTCACGTATGTACAATTTCTAAAACGAGGTAGATTACGTGTATTGACAAACAAGTTGATGAAACAAGAATATCAGCAGTCATCATTTCGTAAGTTCTATGGTCGATACAATGACCTTGTCAGCAAATACAATTTATCATTGAGTCAAATGCTGACTGACGTTTTTCACACTAATTGTTAGGCCATTATTTACACACTGAATTATCGACGGATTTTACCGTTATTTTCCGATCATGACAAGGAGCACACGGCGGTTGTGACCCGTCGGCAGGGGATGCTCACTCCTCCATGGCATCTGATCCCACCTCTGGCGTTTTGGAGGTCTGTGTTTGCTCTGCTCCTATTTTGTATTGTTTAATTGACTTTTGAGCTTGAATACTGTTCGTTATCTCCATATATTTCATTCAAGCGTACCTTGCTGGAGTCAATAAACAATAAACAACGTTTATTCAGCAATTGCTGTGCTGGTATGCTCCAAGATGCGAGCTAGAGCTATTCATATCGCCATGTTCACCGAATAAACGCTGTTTATCCCTCGTATTTGCATTCCATAATTTCGTCAAGAATGTCAAGAATGACAGAGGAAAGTCTGGCCGGGATTTGTGCAACACAGTGCCCGTCTGCATTAATTCATTGACTGTATGTTTTACGTCCCGTTCGAGAATTTTTCACTCATATAGAGACGTACCATATAATGGTGAAGGGCATCAAATTTAGACCTTTACTCGGCACTCAGGGCCATTGAGCAGTGAAGGTTCTTTATCGTGCCAACGCCTACCGTGACACGGGGCCTCGGTCTCATCCGAATGACTTTCACTTCAAAGTGCCGGCGAAGGAACAGTTGCTACCTAATTTTTTCATCGACTTTGGCCAGTCACAGCCGTGATTCAAACATGCCAACTTCCGATAACGGAGCGAGTGTTCTGCCGACTGAGGTACCTTGACGATCCTGTCTGCATTACAGAAAGTAAATAACAAAAATAAATTAGATCTAGCATACTTTAATCCCGTATCAATCGCATATAACATTAACGATACATGCTTCTAAAAACCAGATTAAGATATCTTTTTTACATTCTGTCTTAGCTAAATCATTTTTTTCACTTGTCATGGTGAACATTAATGACGTCAAAGAAGTTACCCCTGTGTAAGATGCAAAACATAAGAAAATAACATTTTTACGATATATTTGCATGGTTTCATTTATTTATAAGTGTTGAAATAAATCTTGAATTTCAAATAAAAAGAAAAGTTCACGTGATATCGCTTATTTTGACGTCATATTGTACTTCAAATTTAGCCAGAACTATACCTCTATCAAGAGTTATCAATATTTTTAGACCTTTTAAAAAACTATCTATAATCGTCATCTTAAATTATTTGTATATATATCATCTTCCTTTATAGATATTCTTGTGTTACTTTTGCTTTAAGACAACGAGTATAACTATTAAAATGACAGTGATATAAGGAAAAGAGAAAGAAAAAAAATTGTGTTCCATTTTTTTATATATGTATCTTTGACAATGCACTGGGCCATATCAACGTACTAGCGTGTGCCATAATCCAAAGCCTTGGTTTTCTGGATTACTTTTCAATCGATTAGTCCTTCCTTTTATATTTTACTTATGCCAAATGTTTCTCAATATAATAAATAAAATTAAATAAAAAGTCAAGAATTCACATAACTCTCAAGAGAAAGAATAATGATAACACGGTACCTAGAAGCCACTACAAGTATCCTTGTTAAGGGAACCTGTTGGAATTCTAGTGAATGATATAGGGAAAAAAAGAATTAAAAACCAAACATCGTAAAATAAAAATATAATAATAAAAAATAAATATAAAATATAAAGTTTTCAAAAGTTTTGTTTTCAAATTAAGACAAGTTTTTTTTTTTAATAAAAAATAAATATGAAATATAAAGTTTTCAAAAGATTAGTTTTCAAATGAAGAAAAGTGTTAATTACATCTAATATAAGGCCTATCATTTGACAAATTTTATATTGCAGGAAGAATGCATATCAAACATATTTGTTATCTACTGAACCTGCAAACATATGCTCCAAAAGGCATCAGTATATGTAATACTGCAGAAAATTAAAGGTCGAAACTCTTTTGAAAAAAAAAAGGAATCTCATTCAAACATTTTTACGTTTTTTATCAATTACATTGTTCATCATTAAAAATTGTACCAGGGTTTTACATGTTGAAAGCCTTTGTCACAAAGGGATAACTAAATAAATGCAAATTATTGTACTTTTAGTACCGGTTCATAGTATCAATGGGATTTAGTTATAACAACACACTGGAATGCAGCTAGCTAGAAAAGCTTCGGACTAAAATAAAATCTAAGAAGGAAAACTGATTTACCAAATTTAAATCTTCCAAAATAGTAACATAAAGGGAATATAAAACTAGTCACTGTTTCTTAAATACATTCAACATTTTAGTTAGTTTTTATCAGTTCACATTCTATACGTTTTGCCATTTGTGATCAAGGATTAAATATTGCTAAACATTCTCTAATACCGATGAATTGTTATTGTCAAGTCAATTTCATATAGCCACTAATTAAATGAAAATGTGAATCTTCATCTTATACCTGTCAACACTTGACCTCTGATTATAACCAACTGTAAATTAGAATTAGTATGGCAAGTCATACGTTGCAATACTAGTATTCGGTCATTTCTATTGCAACGTAAAATTTTCCATTTGTATTGTATAATTTTTATTTGAATTCTATAATTTTTATTTGTTTGAACACTATGCTACAAAAAGACTAAAACTTGACGAGTGAAATCCTTCGTATCGAAAAAAATAAACAATCCCTCGGATACAATACTAATGAAAAATTATCGCATACAAATAATAAATTATACAATACAGATAATAAGCTATACATTGCAAATGGAAAATATAGAATACAAATAAATGTTATACAATGCAATGGAAAATTATACAATACAAATGGAAAAGATCGAATATTGCAACGTTTGACATGCCATTGATTAGAATTATAAATTCTTTCTTTAATAAATTTACCAGAATTTGATGTTTTGGGAACAAAAGTAGATTTTAAACAAATAAAAGGCTTTTAACCAGAAAGTAAACACGAGGATGACACAACAAATGTTAAAGTAGAAAGCGAAAAACAGGAGTAGAGCAAAATTACCCAAAATAAATTAATCCAAGAATTTTCTTAAGCGTTTCCTTAATTTAATGTTCACAATGAAATGATATAACCAACTCTTAACTTCTTTCGATCTTGGCCTCTCAGACCTATCAGTAGTTTTAACTTTTTTAGTTTTAATTTATGAAAGGCATATTTCTCTTGTCAGCTAGTACTATATAACGTAGAAGAATAAAAGACATGGTGCTTTATGTTTTGACTAGAAGGATTTGATGTTCAGTCGTCCAATTTCACAAATGCACGTATCGTCCATTTATAGTTGGTATGCCTGCCTACTGAAAGTCCAAATAGTCATTGAAAATGTAACAATATTGGTAAATTTAGTACCAATATAGATAAGATTTTATTCAGATTGACTACAAGAATTCTGAAATCAGTAAATCTGTCAACCAATAACAACTGAATATTGAGATCTGCAATAGAAGAACAGAAAAATAATACTGAGGCAATTTAGAAAAAAATACTTGAGAAGACAAATAAAAATATACATAAATATGTGACAGAGAGAAAGAGAGAGATATATCTCCTAATTGAAATATGATGATAACGAACAGTTAACTATCATGCTTCTTTAAATATAATATTAATCCTCGCCTTTTTTCACAGACATACGGTCGATGTTCATCACAATCATCGTCGTCCCACTGACTGTTTGATAGCCTTATTGACAGACAATTTTCCCCATTGACATTGTTAGGCCTTCCATGAGCAAAATTAGTGAAATTGAATTTCAATCCTATTGGTTCCCATACCCACGTGCCTTCTATCGTCCAATCAGACCCTCCTATCCAGAAGGAGGTACCTGAAATAAAAAAAAAATTAACGTAAGCTTCAAAGTTGATATGCATATTTTTCAGGTTTAGGTAATGTTTGTTGAATTTCCCTTTGTTCTATATTTATTTTCTCTCTATATATTATCAATAATAATAAGTCAGAATTGGTGTCTTACCTAGCTGCAGAACTTAAGCCCTCTGGGAAGGAAGACGTATCATACCAGATATACCTCTAGTTAGCCTGGTTCCCTGTCCCTGTTTTGCTTCATATACTCCGCGTCACTAGGCAAGGATGAGCCAGGGAACCAGGCTATACCTCTCTAACCGAATTTTCATTCCCAGAGAACTTAAGTTCTGCAGCTTAATCTAACCACGTAGACAGAGATTTTCAAGTTTTGTAAATTTATTGTATAGATATGAAGAATCACGTTTTTTTTTCGGAGATAGACTGGATTCATTAATATATATATGTATAATAGAAATAAACAGTAGAATTAGAATTCAGATTGTATTGGAACTTACTATGTGATTTTTGTAGCAGAGAGACTATGAATGCATTATCATCTCTGTCCATAATATGTGCCAGGTGTCCGCCATGAAATTCACACATTTTCTGTAAAGAACATGATAAAAATCAATGTGATATCACAAATCTGTGAGATATTCAAATGTTAAGAAAAATGTATGTAATAATACGAGTGTCAAATAGACAAACGTAACGTACAGGACTCATAGTAGTAACTAGGTTCGTGCTTGGATTACTGTGTTTCACTGCAAGTTGATTATTCAGAATATACAGACATCTGCTTGGAGTGTTTGAATCATGTGACTGGCTTTCTTATAACTATAGGCACCTGCCTAAAACTTTAAATGACCTCCCAGACACTTGAACTGATTGGCAACTGAACACAACAAATGATTGTCCATTATCTAACAATTAGCAAAGACAGGGAGTCCTCCAACCATCTCGATCAATTAAATATTGTAGAAATTACAAAAAAGACTTTGACTTATATAAACAATAATATTACGCAGAAAAACTATATGTACTGATATTATTAAATTTTCATCGATTGTTTTGGGCTGATGTGATTAGTTGCCTCACATCGGGTGGTCTAATGATGTATGCTGTATATATTCAATGCAGACATTTTTTTAAAGTTATCAATAGGTAAGGATTACATTATTTCATTGTTTGTTAGCAACCATAAAAGTCCAAAGTATCAGTAAATTTGTAATAAAGAATAGGCAGTAAAAATCCCTAACCATTGCATCCATCCAGGATTCCTCTTCATTAGAGATATGATAACAAGAGTCTCCATGAGGAATCCAACCCCCAGGGCATGCAAAACCTACAAAGGTAAAAAAGATACAATTAAATCTCTTACGTAGAACCGGAAGAAGACGATGTAAGGGGTTAAATAACAAATTATTTTCATTTACATATTTTACTGAGAGTTTCTATTGGAATGAAATGGTCCCTACTATATCTAGTTCAACATGTGCACTTTATCGATATGTAAAATTATATAAATAGCAAATGAGTCCTCGTTTCTATTAAAGCACAAGTCAGAGTAATAATTTCAATAAAAGTAAAGGAAAATGGAGAAATGTTCTCTTTCAGAACCCCCTAGATATTTTTATGTCATTTACCTTTGAATTAAAAACAAAGTTATTAAATGTATGTATGGCAAATATCGTAAGCAAACCTTCCTTGGGAAAAAGGCTAATTTTGAAGTAGGGACTATTATAGTTCATAATGCTGATATAGAGAGAATATACAATATTTTGTTGTTGGATATGAAATTTATTTCAAGAGTGGGACGAATGGGAGATGTGCACTGTTCATCATTAGAATTTTTATAAAAAGACCGGAGTCACAGTCCACATGATCTTGACCTTTGACCTACTTTTCAATTATTCTCAGAATGACTACTAAAACTTCAATGTTTTGAATTTTAAGAAAAGGGCTATGATAATTAACATATATATTGCATGTTTAACAAAGCTAAAACAAAATCCTTATAAGGTTCATGTTCTTCCTCGTCTTTCAACTAATCTATAGTCAAACTGAACACTTCATTACTGGTGAGGTAGATATATTTCAAAATGATGACCTGAAAGCAGTCATTTTGAAAGGTCCAAAATTCAGGGAGCCCCAAACTTTCAAATGGCGAGAGAAGTTCTTTTATATTATGATTGAGAACTTTTTATATTATGAATTCCATCGAGGTGTATGCTAGACGATGGGCTAAATATGAACATTCTGTCAATATATTAAAGAATCGTATTAGACAAATAGATAGTTTTCAGTAGGCCCAAATTAGCAAGAGTTATTTCCCGTTGGCCGCCATATTGGAGGTCAACATGCTCATATTCCTTCATTATTCAACCAACTTTTTCTTTTTATACTAGCCATTGTGGGGTAGGAAGCATTGTTTTTCTGAAAAATATGCATATGTGTAAGCATCCTTTATTTTATTATTTTTATTCTATGAAGATTTTCCCCCAAATATTTCTGCTACATCCTCTTAGATTTGGTAAGACAAAGAGTAAAAATTACCTGGTTGACCACCAAGATGGCGGCCAAGGGAAATAACTCGGAGAAAAAATACATCATATGAAAACTATCTATAAAGAACAATATGCGAACAATCTATGGTGATAAAGGAATTACAAAGACTACATGATAAATATGTCATTCAAGCTGACGAAGATTGTAACGATGTATAATTAAATCAAAATGTATAACTTTTCAATAATTTTTAAAAAACATTCCCATAGATTAATTAAAGATCAAGCTTTTTAACATCATAGACAACGATTTTTTCAATGAAAAGGAACTCATAAAATTACATACCTTGTCCTAGGTCATCTGCAGACTTATTTTGTAAAAGAACATTCTGATTCTAAACACAAGTACTCCAAAGATTTAAAAAAAATGCTTGAATTTCTGATTGACAATATCTATGTAGTTTTTTGGGATTCTAACAAACAATCCTGCATGTTGTCTGAAACTGTCACCTTTTGCACGGAAGCGTGTCCACATTGCATGAGGACAAATATCAAGATATATCAGGGTAGACGATATATCTTCTATTGTCCAAGGGGAAACACAATTATCCTATAGATAAATATGACTGTACCTAGAGCGATAAGGCAGGTAATGTAAATGACTGATTTGCTCCACATTTTCAATGATCTCGTCAATAATATGTACACCACAAACGGTTGTGTCCTATTTATATAATATATGAAACGTTATATTGTCAAGGACGATGAGAAATGATAAAGATTTATAATTATCATGCATCATTTTATTTAATTACACAAAGTAGTCCTTTTTACAAAATATCTTAGGATTAGTTTTCATCTTGAGATAAAACTAAGAATGGTGCCCCATTTGACGAAAATTATTACGAGATCTGTTCGCGTACAATCTGCGTTTTTGGCAAGAGTCTTAACTTAAGACTTCACTTTAAAGAAATTTATTCCTTAGCAACGATCTCATACTCTTTCTAGTCCCTATATAGTGGTTGGTCATATATTGTAAATGCATTTTATCTTTAAAAGAAAAGGTATCTTCACTTCATTTACTCATAGACATCTAGCAGGTGAATTGTTTGCATATTACTGGTGACGTAAATATAGTTAATAATGAGAATCTTAGATCACTAATTTTAAAAGGTCCTAAATATAGGGAACCCCGATCCTTCAAGTGGCGTCGGAATTTCATAAATATGATGGATTCATTAGAGGATTACGCCAGGCGATGGGCCAGATATGAAAAAGAAGACCTTGACACTTTGTCAGAATGGATTAAATGTATCAGATGTATGTTAAAATCGCGCATTAAAAAAATTGAGGGGCAATATGAGAACCATCTATCCTTCTGTATTCAATAATCCAGAAGTGAAAAAAGAATTAGATAGATTACATGATCAGTACGTACTGGTCCCTGCTGACAAAGCAGGTAACAGCATTGTCTTTGTTTGTAAGGCTCATTATATTAAATGTATTTTAGAGGAACTTGGATTTAATTCTACAAGTGGTAATCCAACTTATACTCATAGTTCTCTTTCTAAGGAAGAAACTCTTCAAAATCAAATGTCAGTTTTGAATATTTTTAATATTCCAAACAACCAAAATGAATTTGAATTACCATATCTATACTGGATTCCAAACTTCATAAAAATCATTACAAAGATACATAGCGGGTTCCAGTAAATGTTCAACCAAGCCTCTTTCTTTACTCCTCACTAAGATATTAACAATAGTGAAGGAGAAACTTCAAGAGTACTGTGCAACAATATATTTGAGAAGTGGTGAAAATCAGATGTGGATACTTAAAATTCAAAGAAACTTTTGGAAAATTTGAAATCACAAGATTTTACCAAAATCAACAGCTTAAAAACTTATGACTTTTCAACTTTATGCACAACCATTCCTCACCATAAATTAAAGTCCATGCTTTTTGATATCATTGACAGCAGCTTTTTCAATAAAAATGGAACTCGTACATTTACTTACCTTGTCATTGGTCATTTGCAAAATTATTTTGTTAAAAAACATTCTGATTGTACACACAAGTACTCTGAAGTTGACATTAAAAAGATACTTGAGTTTCTGATTGACAATATCTATGTGGTTTTTGGAGATCAGGTCTTCCAACATTCTGGAATTTCCATGGGTACCAATTGCGCCCCGTTATTAGCAGAACTTTTTGTATTCATATGAAGCAGAATTTCCGAAATCTTATACGTGAAAAGAAGAAAACACTTGCTGTGGCCTTCAACTCGACATTTAGATATATCGACGACGTATTGTCAATGAACAATGGTTATTTCCATTCTTATGTCGATGCGATATATCCCGGTGAGCTTGAGATAAAAGATACCACAGAGTCTGACACATCTGTTTCATATTTGGATATTTTACTTGAAAAAGACGTTAATGGTATTCTAACAATCAAGCTTTATGATAAACGTGATGACTTTAACTTTTCAATAGTCAACTACCCTTACTTATGCAGCAATATACCTTCATCACCTCCATACGGGGTTTATATCTCTCAGTTGAGCGTGTTCTACGTATGTACAATTTCTAAAACGAGGTAAATTATTGACAAACAAGTTGGCGAAAGAAGAATATCAGTAGTCTCGTTTAAAGTCATCATTTCGTAAGTTCTATGGTCGATACAATGACCCTGTCAGCAAATACAATTTATCATTGAGTCAAATGCTGACTGACGTTTTTCATACTAATTGTTAGGCCATTATTTACACACTGAATTGTCGACGGATTTTTCCGTTATTTCCCGATAATGACAAGGAGAACACGGCGGGTGTGACCCGTCGGCAGGGGATGCTCACTCCTCCATGGCACCTGATCCCACCTGTGATGTTTCGGAGGTCCGTGTTTACTCTGCTCCTATTTTGTAATGTTTAATTGACTTTTGAGCTTGAATACTGTTTGTTATCTCCATACATTTCATTGTAATAAGCAGCTGGCTCTCTTCATACAATTAAGGTAATTTTTCATGTTCCCATGAACAAGGGATCAGGCCCCAGGACGGGGCAAAGATGGTCATGTATATTGAAATTTATTATACAGTGTACTTTATCTTCTCCACTCCAGTGTCTATATTACTGCTGAATGTCTACGAAAGGGGCTGCGTGAAAAAGATTATGATTATAAAGTCCTCACAAGTTTTAAAAAAATATGTCACATGAGGCCAAAGTTGTCAGAGCCTGAGAAATACTCAGGTGGACCTCTTGTGTAATTGTGAAGCCGTATGTAGATATAAAGAAATTGAATAAAAGCGAAAAGACCAAAAAATTGTTTAATCTTTTCATTATCCAAAGATGATGCCACTGTTTTCTCTGAAATAGAAATGTAAAATGAATTCAATTTGCATATACTTAATGAAAAATAAATGAATGTACCACGTATGTTCTTACGTGCGAATAATGTCTTTTTTTTTCTTTCTTTTTTTTTTTAAATACCCTCTTTCGCAGATATAATGCCTCGTCAATGATAGACACTCCAAGTCGTTCCACTGATAACGATGTAGACGATCCATTACTAAACAGTTTTGGGAATGATAATTATTTGGCTGACCTGGAGCAAAATTTGTATAATTCAACTTTTGTCCATGTGGCTCCCATTGCCATGAACCTTCCACTGTCCAATCAGTAGCCCCAAGCCACGTGTTATTAGCTGAAAAAGTGAATGTTTTTGTTTTTCTCTGTTATAGCACTTGAAATACATGTACATGTAATTCATTTGAATGCTAGTGCTGTAATGAGTAATAGTGAAATTAATTTTTTTTTTGTCTCCATGTACTCTTGAAGACTAATTCATATGTGAATGAAATAGAATTTCCGCTAATAGGTAAAACCGTTTCTTTATTCCTTTCTGTCCTAATATAGAGAAATCTTATTCAATCTGCTAAAAAAGATATCAGTTGTGAAAGAGACCAGTTGTGAGCAATGAAAGTAGGACAATGGTTATCTCATCAATCGAAAATTACAGAATTCTGTTTCATATTTGGATTAATTTTCTAGAAAAAGACATTTGATGGCAAACTAACCACTAAACTTCATTATTATTTACACACTGACTTGTCGACGGATTTTTCCGTAATTTCCCGATCATGCCAAGAAGCACACGGCGGGTGTGACCGGTCGGCAGGGGATGCTCACTCCTCCATGACACCTGATCCCACCTCTGATGTCTTAGAGGTCCGTGTTTGCTCTGCTCCTATTTTGTAATGTTTAATGGGCTTTTGAGCTCGAATACTGCTCATTATCTACACATATTTCATTATAAACGTTATGATTTTAACTTTTCTTTCGTCAACTTCCCCTGTTTTAATGTATAATCATTACCTGCATAATTATGGACTTTATATTTCCCATTTGATTCGATACGCAAGAGTACGAACAATTTCTAAACCGAGGCAAGCTACTGACATAGATGATTCATGGATATCAGCAATCTCATTTAAAGTCAACGTTTCGCAAACTCTATGGTCGATATAATGGCCTTGTTAGCCAATACAATCTATTGTGAAGTCTGATGTTAAATGACATTTTACATAAAAATTGCTGGGCCAGTATTTAAAATTCCGTTTACTAGATCATCACATGGTGCACACGGCGGGTGTGACCGGTCGACAAGGGATGCTTACTCCTCTATAGCACCTGATTCCACCTCTGTTTTTAAAGGTTCTTGGTGCCTCCTCTGCTCATTTGTTTTGTTCAAATGTTTTTTTCTGAGCATGATCAGTGTTGTTATCATCACATTTAATCAAAAGAAAAGAGAAGCAAAACCTACTCCCTGTTTTTCAACCAAGCGTGCAGCAAAGTTTTGTAAAATAATTTATTCTGGCAGGGATAAAATCCTGACTACTTACCACTGGACGATTGAAGTAAGTGTGTAATGAAGCCTTGTTCATCAGCATCGTCAATATGTATTATGTAGCTATCGTGTATTTCACATATTTTCTGAAGAAAAGTACCTTCAAATAAATCAATCTGTTCTTTTGAAATTTTAGGTAAGATGTTTCTGCATGTATATGCCCTAAATAAAAATATACTTAAAATGATTATGTAGTTGATAAATAAATGATAAAAAATGAGTAAATCTGACACTAAAAGTCTATGAAAGGAAAAATGCAATAAAATAATAACATTATATATTACAAGTAAGTTTTATGTTTAGATTGTTGTTAATGACGTACCATAGCATTAAACCAGTTCTGGGAATCCCTACTGACATGGTAACAAGAGTTCCTGTAGATTGTCCATCCGTCTGGACAACAAGATCCTTGCAAAATAACAGTAATTCAACTTAAATATACCTTGACCCTTAAGAGGAAATACACAGTTATTCAACTTTAATACAACACCACCCTGAAAGGGTAAGAAACAGTACATGTATTTCAACTCAAACTCACTATCAGAAGACAAAATACATGTAAGTTACAGTAATTCAACTCAATAACTGTGTACAAAAATAATTAACAGTACTAGAAAAAGTGTTCGACACACATAAACAATTTCTGTAAAAAAGATTTACTTTAAAAAGCATTCATTTCAAATATACCTGCACCTAAATATACAATAATTAATACCTGTAATGCAACTCAAACAAACCCCCACTTACAACGATAACGGTAATTTATTTCAAATACAGCATTACTCTACAACGATGATTAATTAAGAAATAAACAACAATGTTAAAAAGTTCTCTGGGAAATGAACTTGGTTGGTCACGTGATCAAATCCTGTGAAGCCCGAAGGGCTTCTCAGAAGATTTGATCACGTACCAACCAAGTTCATTTCCCAGTGAACTTTTTAACATTGTTGTTTATTACTTTTATTTACATTTGAGACGGATATTCTGAAAAGAACAGCATTTATTACACGAACGGCCCGCCGTATTGCTATGTTGTGACGCGCAATGACCTAGAAGCTGTTTGGTCTTGAGAGTTCACCTCGCTCCAACATTTGAATAATTACATTGATGTTCAGCAGTCCAGTTCAGGAAATATCTGTTCATAATGAAAAAACAATGACGCTACTGAGAATAATCTTACTTTTATTGTATGAGTTCTTAATATATGAAGTCAAAAGCGGTGGTATCGTCTTCAGTTTACTTACCTTCAAAGGAATTTCGGGTTAAAAAGGTAAGCGTGATTTTAGGCTAATAAAAAACATTCTTCACACCGAAGAAAGAACTAATGATCATTTTTGAACGAAAAAAACACACATATCTTTCAATAATTTTACCTTTTTCATCGCTTTAACGGCTTAGAAGTTCCGAAACCAGTGTCACCGTGACAGAAATATGTAGACAAGATATCATCTCGCTGTGTGATTCGGTCACACCATGACCTCTGACCCCCTAATTAGTTCATACAGAATTGAACATATTTTCTCTTCAATAGGTTCATCTAAGAAAAATATTTGCAAATGTAAATAACAGTACATGTACTAATCTGACTTAAATACAACACCGCCTTACAAAGATAACTGACTCAATGACAATACAATCCAAAAACTAACAGATAAGCGAAGCTGAATCTCTGTTTTTGAATTCAAATATCAAAGATAAGCAAAGCTGAATTTCTATACTGTTATTTAATTTCAATATTACATTGGAAAAAACAAAGGCAATTAAATTTCTATCCTTTACATACATAGTTCTTACCTTTTTTCAACAGTAATAACAAAACAAGTACAACATAATAGTTACGATTGCTTGAGACCATATTGTCAAATCAGAAGATAAAAACCATTCTCTTATCATTTCTATCGTAATAAAACGAACTTTATTATCAATATACACCTATAACTGTGAATTATGTATCGTCGACTGAGAACTTTTACAATATAGAAAAAACAAAATATGGTACTTAGTGTACAGAAAGAAAAAAAAACCGAACGTTTATCGTGGCCTATACATTAACTTTTATCCTTATTTGGTTAGGAGAAGAATTAAATCTACCTCGTTTGCTTCTGGAAAGACTTTTCAAACAAACATTTGCAGCATGACAGTTTGTAGCAAACAAAATACACTTTAATTCAGGAATGTAAAGAAATGGAAAAAAAAATTTCTACTTAGTGCGAAATATCATACGATATGATTCTTTGATTAACAATCTCTCAACTTTGGGCAAAACCTTGTGTTTGAATATGTAATTTATTTGGGAATTGTTCAAATACTGTATAAAAATATGCGTTTAATGCTATTTCTACATACCAATGAGGCCATGAAGCATATCATTTTGCAACAATAAGACTTTATACTGCTACACAATTACTATTGAATCGTTAGATTTCGTGGTGGATCAGTATCCGTGTAATTCGTGGGTACCCCTCATCCACGGATTAACATCCTCCACAAATGAATAAACTGGTTTTTTTTCAGAATCATCTTTCCTTTAGTAGACATGAGTAAATACATGAAAATGCGTCCCAACAAACCTGTAAAATTTCAGTATTCTACTAAAATTGGCCCCCAGGAATTTTATCACACTTTGTTCATTTTCCCCATTCATACACTGTGTTGATGATAAGAAATTTTAAGGGGGAGGGGGTAGAAAGGGTAGATGGTTAAAACATTAAAATACTCAATTCATAAGTCAAAATTATTATTAAAAAAGCAATTGTAATACACAATTTGAACAAAAAACATCATTACAGATATATTGACTTTTGTCCATGTCTTTAAAGATGTGGTCGATAAATGTAGTTCATACAGATTCTTGATTTTTCCCCAATTTTTAACATTTTATTTGCCATATTTATTGGAAAAGACAGACAATCACAAGAAATATTATCAGAGTTTTCACTTTTGTCAACCTACTATGTTTCCAGTGATATCATCCCTACAAAACAAAAAACACTCGTAATTTTAAAATGAAACATGAGAGGAATTGGTTTTCATATTCTTATTAATTTGTTTAAGCTGTTTGACATGCGAAATATCCATGTACGTATATCATGTATTTAAAACAATATGGCGAAGGAATCAAATGAATAGTGATTATTTTTTAAAACCGAGATGATACATTTGCTTGCAAATGTAGAAGTGTCGATCATCGCAATTTCTGTCATCCCAAACATAGGTATGGCGTTTGTTGGAAGAACCATCAATCAAAAGGCAATCTTCCTGATTTAGTCTATTGTTTGGTTCTCCATGACCAAAGTTTTCATAATTCATTTTGTCGCCGTAGGGTTCTCAAACAAATATGCCTTCATCATTCCAGTCCGTCGCTCCTAACCAAACAACGTCCTCTGAAAATCACAGTTTCTTTTTGATTTAAAAATAATACACAAAGGATCGATCGACAATCGGTCATTTAACCTCACTCCATCGTCAGAAGCCATGAATTTCGAGTCCATTCTTTTTGCACAAAACACGGGTTTGTGGAAATGGAATGGACACAAAACCAGTGCTTTGCGACGATGATTTCACATCCTGAAAATGATGATTTAGAAATGCCGTTTTATGTATTGATCCATATAGGTTAAACTTTCACCTCTGAAAACATTTGCTTCTTATACGTTGTTTGCTTTTACCATGGCCGTAGGAACCGGGAGGGGCACGGGGGACCTTGCCCCCCCCCCAATATTTTTTGCCTATATATAGAATACTATAGAAAACATGGCTGCTATATGCTTGTGCCCCCTCAATAATAACGTCTGATGCCTTTTTTTTTTGCTTGTCAAGGAATTTTGGTAGTTGATAGTGCCCCCTCAACTGAAAATGTATGGTTGTGCCCCCTCAAAGTGAAATTGCTTCCTACGGGCCTGTTTACTGATGTAAAAACAATGATAACCGCCGTTAATGTACATTAATCTCTAATATGAAATATATTGAGATAATGAACAGTATTCAAGCTCAGAAGTCCATTAAACAATACAAAAGCATATACAATATGACGTGAGGAAAATGTGACGCAATACCAATCTGTGTTCGGCTTCGACCAATCACAGTTGATTCCACATATGTAACTATTTGCGTACACATGACGCGACCGTCGACTTTGTTTACTGACAACTTCATGTATATCTATCACAGCATATTAAGTACTAAGAAACCTTTTAATCCTTGTTTAATGCATTTACTGTGACATGCAGACATTTATGATGAATAAACTTACTATTTCTTTATATGTACAAGAATTTCATTAACTGTCGACCGTTCACGGTAGCTCAGTCGGTAGAGCGCTCGCTCAGTGATCGGGAGGTCGTGAGTTCGAATCTCGGCCGGGACAGACCTAAGTCGATTAAAAATAGGTAGCAACTGTTCCTTCGCCATGCGCTCGGCACTTTGAAGTGAAAGTTGCGGGTCCTTCGGATGAGACCTTAAAAACCGAGGCCCCGTGTCACGGCAGGCGTTGGCACGATAAAGATCCCTCTCTGCTCAATGGCCCTAAGTGCCGAGTAAAGGTCAAAATTTGAAGCCCTTCACCGGTATATGGTGACGTCTCTATATGAGTGAAAAATTCTCGAATGGGACGTAAAACAACATACAATCAATCAATCAATCATTAACTGTCAAACATATTCGTTCACTGGTATTTCGAGTAAATCTGACTCGTACATTAGTTCATTCGTTTATTAGTTAATTCTTTTCCATAAAGTAGGTTACAAGTTTGATAGATGAATATTACACTTCCCAATCACTTCCTTTTACTTGTTGACGTCTACTGATGCATACAAGTGCATATGAGGCAAAATGGCATGATAAATGTAAGAAACGGTTATGTTTGATTGCTAACTTGTTTATGTTTTGTTTTGGTGAAAAGAGGTATGGGTTTACAAGTTAGAGAATATATTCGGCCCTAGTAGCCATTTCTCCTTGAGTGGTTTGAAATCCTGTCGTTTTTATAAAAGAAGATACATGTACCTGCTTTTAGTTTCAAATACAGAAACGGGAAAGGCATTAAACTGATCTGCTTTAAGTAATCTAGAAATAGTCTTCTCCATACCTACAGATTCATGAAACTTACCATGATATTCCTTCATGAGGCTTACGATAAAATTATGTTCTTCCTGGCTCAACACTGATGCAAGGGTGGATCCGTGAATTTGACACATTGTCTGAAAAGAATAAGATAATTATAGACCCTAGTTGATTTAAATTGGTACAAGATACTTAAAAGTGACAAAGAAAAATCTGAAAATGCACAGTGGAAAATGAAGTAGAAACCGCTATGCATATCAGCACTTTAATATTACAATATATTTACCTACCATTCCGTCAAACCAAGTTTCCACTTCGGGACCCATGTGGTAACAGGAAGGACCATGTTTTATCCATCCCGCCGGACACGCCCATACAATGAAAACTGAAAGATTTTTAATCTTTAGAAGGTTATTTTGGAAACCTGTTTGCTTACTGTAAGTTAGATCTGTAATGAGTATATTTACCTCCTCAATATTTAAATTGTTAAAAAAATGACAAGTTAAGATATGAGTCTTTTATCTTACAAATGGTGTCATTTGTTTTACAGAAAAACATCTGAAAATTTTGTTTTCGTTGTTTTGAGAAAGAAAGCCAGAGAATTTGCTGAAGTATTATGGGAAAAGGAAAGAAATTATTAACAAGCAGAGTTTTTTTTTTCAATTTTAGCTCTACTGGTCAGAGACCAGAAGAGCTTATGCGATAGTAAGGTGTTCGTAGCCTGTCTGTTTGTCTTTAAGCAATTCTTTTCAAAATGCCATTCTTCCTATAGGTTTGGTCCGATTTCAACAAAAATGGAATTTCCTGAAAAAAAAGTCTTTCAAAACACAACCTATCCTACAGTTTTAATCTATTTTCAATGAATATCTCCCCACCAGTAGAATAAACAAAGTACAAAATTTTGTATATCTGTTTTTTTGATTTTGAAAACGCTGTTGCCATGATTACTAAAACTAGAAATTTATATAAAATTCTTTCAAAACGCAACTTCTTCTACAGTTTTAATCTGATTTCAATGAAACAAAGGGGTCTTCATACTGCAAATGTGTTTTTTTCTGAAATAAGGATGACCCAAATTGTGACGTTCTTCCGTGTTTTGGAATTTTTCAAGAGGTGTTTTGTGCGCCTTAAAATCACCTTTTACAGCTAATCGTAAATGTAAAAAGCTTTGTACTTTTTGTTAAATCAGTAATATAAATCTGGTCAAATATATTTCTGATCTCCGATTGTCTACGAATTCTCCTAACAGTACTCATATGTTATCAGCCATAAGGGTTCTTTTGGTCAGTAAGTTATCTCTTAACAATTTGCTAGACAAAGAAATACGAGTTATTTAAAGAAAAGTTATTTATAGAAGTTTTTCAAATAATAATGTGATGTAAATCTAATGGCTATATGAATTTGTTTAACGTACATGACCAGTAAATACAATTAAAATACTCACTTACCTACAGACTGAAGACAAAAGAACTGAAGAATCTTTGAAGTCATTATTTAGATTTTGACTGATAAAAGTAAGATAGAATAAAGCATTGATTACAGTTTAACCTGATATTGACATGACAGTGTTCGGACAAAGCGGAACAAGCTAATTCAGGGAATTTGTTGTGCCCCCCGCTGACGGATAAAAGAAGAAGGTAGATGAAATGGAAAAAAATGCCGATGAAGTAGGGGAAAAAATGTCGCCCTTTCAGCGTTTAGCCTTAAAGTCAATAGAAGTCTCTTTTACATTCAAGAAATTAATGACCTTCAGTTTCATTGCAAAAATCAAATAGAAGGCCTTCTTTAAGTCATGGGAGTTATGATATACTTTTTTTTGAAGAGGGTCAAGGGAAAGAGGTCTCCTTTGAAATAATGGGAGTTATAATATATAATTGAAAAAGCTCAAATATGACTAAAGTTATCATCTGAAAACAATTTTGAATAATATTTGAATATCTTACAATGACCTTTGACTTTAAAATCAATGGGGGTCTATTTTATGACTTTGAAAGTATTGATATTGAATTAATTGAAAAAGCTTAAAGAAAATTAAAGATATCACCAGAAAACCATTTTTTGCAATGTATGAATTTCTGACCTTGACCTTTAGACTTCAATATCAACAGGTGTATTGTTTAGGCCATTTGGAGTTGTAATATAGAATTTCATTGCAAAAGCCTAAAGGCTTTTGAGATACCGCAAGGAAACGTTACACACAGACGGAATGCATGAATTTAGTATCCTACCGTTTTACAGCAGAACGAATAGGGGTCTATTTAGGCCCTCATGAGCTATGTTATTGAATTTTATTGCTTTCTGAGATATCGTCCGGAAATGAAATTGTTGTGCAAAGACACAATGAAAGATAGACGAAAAGGCAGTAAAAGGGGAGAGAATAAATCTTACATTTGAATAGTGACTATATACAAAAAATAGGTACATGTTAATTTTGTATCAGATGATTTCGAATTTCTCGATCTTAGCTCTTCTCAGTGGCTTTACAGTCAATGAGCTGCGAATAGGCTTTTCTGAAACTTATGAATGAATGTTCATTTTCATATTATGACAAATTGTGGTGATGAGTTTTAGTTTGTTAACTGTCATAGTCCGATGTCAAACATTGTATAAAGTTGATTCATACAACTTTTAAAATAAACCAGGGGCACTGTGAGCAATGAGCCCACAAAATGATAGCCTCCACTGCCATAGGAGATGCACAATGTCACTATGTTATAAAGATTCTGGGAAAGTCTCATTAAAGTTTATTCAGTGTTGTAGGAGGACTTGCGGATAAGAGATGGGTATCCCAATATTATAGGAAAAACGCCAGTGTCCATGTTTTGCCATGAAAAACCCAAAATACGTGTCTCAACAAAACGTAAAATAAAAGGTGCACAATGGCATTATGAAGTAAAGATTTTGTGAAAGACTCATTAAATTTCTTTCAGTAGTCTAGGAAGAGTTGCAGATAAGAGATAGGTGCCCCAAAGCGTAAGGGACAAATGTACGGACGGCCACTCCCACCACTATATATACCCTGGCTTTTCAAGAGGGGGTATAAAAATTGAATATTGGCGCCTTGGAAATATATTTTATAAAGTCGCTTTCCCGTTTTGTATGGTTAAATACTCATATGTCCTACCAGGAAAACTGTGTTATGGTTTGTCATTAAAGAACGTATAGTTGCAAAGCCATAAACGTAACGTGGAAAAATCATCATATTAGTATCATGTGAAATGCTAACGTTTGTTGTTGTAGAGCTATGATACATGGATGAATTATTGTAGAATTACGTATTTTTGTGAGGTCCAAGTTTGTAATTCAGTCACTATGATATAACAAAATAAAAGTTGTAAAAACATTGATCTTCAAATGGCATACGGTTATTCATTATTATTAGGTGGTTGTCAGTGTATTTTATTGATAAAACAGCTTTTGTTTTAAACTGCTTAAACAACGTAAGGAATAAATCCATCTAACATGTGTTTCGTCAATATTTTATATTAAACTCAAGAATTTGTTTATCAGCTACGTATTACAAACTGTATATGACTTGTCTTCATAAATATGGCATGCATTGTCTTACGATGAAAACTTTCGACCAAGATTCTGTAAAAACCTCATTAAATTTTATTCAGTTGTATAGGAGGAGTTGCGGATAAGAGATTGGTGCCCCTTATATTATAGAAAGAATGGTCGTGTTCAGGTTTTACTATGGGAAACCACAAATACCTGTTCCATTGAAAGGAAATATAAAAGGTGTACAATGGTACTATTTTATAAAGATTTTGTAAATATCTCATTAATTTTAGTCAGTGGTATAGGAGGAGTTGCAGAGAACAGATGGGTACCCTCAATGTTAAAGAAAGAATGAAAATATTCATGTTTCGATCAAAATGTAAAGTAGGAGATGCACAATGGCACTATGTGATAAAGTCTTTGTGAAAGTTCCGTTAAAATTTATTCAGTGGTATATGAGGAGTTGCGGATAAGAGATGGGATACCCCAAAGTGTTAAGAACATATGTACGGACGGACACCCCCATCACTATATACCCTGGCTTTTCAATAGGGGTATAATTACATGAAAAAGAGTATCACTACTTGTTTTGTTTTTTCCAAAACAAAGGACTATTTTCAGTTTGAAAGAGAACAAATATGATATAGTATTGTTTGTTTTTTGTTTCATTAATGTCCCTTCAAGAATTTTTCACTCATATTGAGATGCCACTACTTGCCGGTGGAGAGCTGAAAATGTAGACCTGTACTCGGCACTTAAGGCCTTTGAGCACTTAGAGATATTTTTCGAGTCAGCACCTACTGCGACACGGGACTTCGGTTTATACGGTTTCAAACCCACGATGTAAGGGTTAACCTCATACTCTGCGACTCTAGAGTAGATTCACTGACCACTACAGCACGCGGACAACTTGTATTAGTTATTGTCGAAAGAAAGAGCAAGAAATAATGATAATAATACTAAATTCTTGTGTTTATGTTTATGAAGCAAGAATATCAATGACAGTGTTTATTTTTTACAGAAAGTGACAATCAACATTTTCTTTTTTCAAATTCCATCAACCAATGAGTGATCCAATGTCTGTATCCCTGTTAGTCAGATAAAATTGAATTATTTCAAGCAAAGCATTTTTTATCACAAAAATTTAAAAATCTTATTTCTCTTGCAAAAATTTCCAGAATTAAGTAGAAAAGAAATCATTTATAGAGAATGAAACGTTGCATTGGCAGTAAATAAATAAATAAATACACATGTAAATAAACAAACAAAATAAAATAAAATAAATCACCAAAAGTCACGGCAATTATGAACTATTTTACAATCATTTTAATTGCAGCTAGTCTTATTTGATGTAAGGACAATAACACATCACCTGTGTACAAATATATCAAATAAAATATGGAGTAAAGAATTTAATTTCAAATTATAGGATCTATAATAAGATAAAATTTTTGTCGTTTTGTAACAAAAAGGAAGGGAAACTACAGATTACATGTGTTTACGAGAGCAATCCCAAAAAGACATTTATATAACATTCAACCAATACCAAATTTTGTTTTATCAAAATGCTCCTTAAAATAGTGGTTTCTTTAATAAATAAATATTTCAAAGTGATAATTTTATGATGATTTATAAGAAGGCCGATGTGGTCTGTCGACATACGAACAAAATCCGGGATAATTTATGAATGTTACTATTGCAATTGCATTTGCTTCTCTCATAATTTGTAATCGAAGAGTCGGGGGCATATATAGATTTTGCTCTGTCTGTCTGTTTGTCCTCTTGAAAAAACTTTAACCTTGACAATTACTTTGGATTGATTGGTGCTATGGCTTTCATATTATACATGTGTATTTCTTGTGACAAGACCTTTCTTTGGGTACTAACATATTTGATCTCTTGACCTTGGAGTTTGACCCACTTTTGCAAACTTTTACCAAACTTTAACCTTGGCTATAACGTTTGAAAGGTTTGATGCTAGGGCTTCCTACTTCACATGTGTATTTCCTTGATAAGAACTTTCCTTGGGTACAAATATTTTTTACTTGGAGTTTGACCCACTTTTAAAGATCTTAAACCTTGGCCATAAGTTTCGAATGGTTTGAGCCAGGGCTTTCATATTAAATGTGTATTCCTTGTGACAAAACCTTCCCTTGGGTCAAAAAATGCTGAACCTTTGACCTTGGAGTTTGACCTACTTTTGAAAAACTTTTACCTTGGCCATAACTTTCGAACATTTGGTTCTAGGGTTTCATATTTTCATATTTGTATTTCTTGTGACAAGAACTTCCCTTATAAACCAACAATTTTGACCCTTTGACCTACCTTGCACACCTTTAATTTTGACCTTGACCTTGACCTTGATATTTGAACTATTTGTGAAAAAAACTTTTATCTTGGCTTTAATTTTGAATGGTTGGTGTTAGGGCTTGTTTTCACAGGTTTAACAAGACCTTTCTTTGAGTACCACTGTTTATTTTATCTCTTGACGTTGGTGTTCGACTTGCATTTAAGAAACTTAAACCTTCGCCATGAGCTGCCATACTGTGGTATCAATGTTTTCATGAACGTACCTTGTTATCATTTACAATTAAATAACTGCTTTATTTTTGAAACTAAGCAAATCGATGATAGAGAATTTTTACGAATTTTAGACTTGAGAGAAAATCAAATTATAACTCACATCATTTCGCAAATATAACAATGCAGTTTCTCGCAACTCCTGTCGTCCCATTTATAGCTGTGATGAGTATAAGAAGAGCCATCTATCATCAGACAGTTCTCTGTGCCTAAATTATTAGGCCTGCCTACGTCAAAATGGGTATAATTTAGTTTGTCGCCATTCGGCTCCCAAACCCATACACCTTCAATGTTCCAATCGGACGCACCCAGCCACACATTATTACCTTATGTTAGTAAAAACAAACACTATTTAAATAATTGTTGATATGTATTCAGATGAGAAAGACTTACATATACTGTAATACTCACAATTATTTTTATGCATGAGATTAACAATAAATCTGTCCTCTATGTCATTTTCAACGTGTACAAGATGCCCCCCGTGCATCTGGCACATTTTCTGAAGTAAAAAAAGTCACAAAGTATATTAATCACAATGTTGAAGGGAACAAAAATTGACAATGCAAAATTTTGTATAATATTAATCATTAAAAAATGTTTATGCAAGGGTTTTACACGATATATGAATAAAACTAGGTGGGGAATTCCTTTTTCAGAGAAAACAAAATTTCTTTTGTATAATCAATTTATACACACCATGGCATCAAACCACGATATTTGTTCACGGCTGAAATGGTAACAGGAGGAGGAGTGCTTTTCCCATCCTACTGGGCAGCTCCACACAATGCAAACTATATGATACAATTCTGAGAAATTATCGCCAATAATGATTTTAAAAAAAAGATTCATGGGTGCATTTCATCACCAAAATTCAATGTTAAAACATAGTTTATTTTCTCTTCAGAAAACTCATGATATTCATTGAAAAATAAATAATTTGAACTTTGGCTTTTGATGGAAATCTGTAGATGTGTTCTTGGAACCAATGTTCTTCTATGTAATGCAAATGATGTTTTTATAATAAAAATACCTAAGAAAATATTGAACACTGAATAGTCATATCATTAAGAATGAACGTTTGACTTGATCTTGAGCTTGCAATCCCCATATTTATATGTTTTGTCTGAATTCTCCCTTTAGTAAATGTACAGTCTATTCTGTAGTTAAAAAGAAAACAATGTGCCTCGTCACTATCGTTATAAATAAAAATTCTTAAATAAAAAATGTATGTGTCCACTTCTAAGCCTCCTTTGAATCAAACAATTCCAATACGTTGATTCCAGGGTTTTATCAGCCTATTTTGGGAAATGCCATTTTTGGGGAATTGGAAAAAAAATATATTTGATGAAATTGTGAATAATAAAAAATCTTGCTTACATCATGTATTCAGATGTAACGTTAATTCATTTAAAACATTTCAGCATGAACTCTAATTTGGGGAACCAAACAGACAATTAAATATGATCCAACTGCATCATACAAGATCAACTATCAGAATAATAGACTAATAACGCTAAATATGACTTCAGTGAGAATAAAGTAATTATACAACTTAGGGTAGTACATATGTTTATGAGATTCCTATTTAGGTCATATTAGAATCTGTTTCTGGAGATTATAAACCTCCTGCAAAAAATTATATTAAGTTCCATTTTAATATGTAAAAATGCATTGAAAAAATATTTTTCTATCTGAAATAATACCTTCAGTTCTTACTAGTCAATCGTAGATCAAATGAGTAGGTGAAAATAAGTTGATAAATCTATATTATCACACTTTTTTCACAAAAACGGAGGAAATTCGGATTAAAAGTCGGCATTACAGGGTTTTAAAAACATGTTATGGCTGTAGCTTTGCTAAATGGGTTAAACAGAGGAAAATTATATTACATGCAATCTGACAATTTTACTTAGTGTTTTTCCAAGTTAATTAAATATAAAAGCATTGTTCACAATACTGCCAAAATGCGAAAAATTGAACTTATTTTCAATTGTGAATGGGGCCGAATTTCGGCCCCTGAGAAGGCACTGATAAATCCCTGGATCCCGAATAAGTAGAAATAGGTATATAAATTAAGAAAAATATTCGATTATTGTACAAAACTAACATGCTATTGATGAGTGCCTATTTACCGTAACCTTTTTCTTCTTAACTGCAATAATTGATTTCTTTCACCAATAATCTCTTGCGTATAAAGTAAATAAGAAGTTTGTATGCTATAAAATAGGTAAAAGTATAAGACAAAGTGTCACAATATAACGAAGTCCACCTATCAAAGACATTAAAGCTCTAAACTAGTTATTGTTTTAACGGTATACTTCCATTTTTGGTCGAGTAATTTTGTTCATCTTTAAACATGTCAATGTTCTTAGTATTTGTGAACAATAGATTGGTTATTATTTCCAATAGATATGCAATTAAGTCCATATAATTAAAAGGTGTTAACTGTTACTTATAGCAAAAGTTGTGTTAATTATGATTTTAATTGACAGGACAATTTTGCTTACTTTGAAAATAATACATGTATATACTTAACAAATGTGATGCAAACTTGTGATTTGCCACAAGGGCATAGTAAACAAAATTAAATCGTCCCTCTCGAGAATTTTACACTCATACGGAGATGCCACCACTTGCCGGTGGAGGGCTGCAAATTTTAACCCATGCTCGGCACTTAGGGCCATTGAGCAGTGAGGGATCTTTGTCGTACCAACACCTACTGCGACACGGGACCTCGGCTTATACATGACTGATCTCCACGTCCCGCAGTAGATTCTAACCCGCGATGTAAGGATCAACTCCTTACTCCTCGACTCTAGAGCGGAAGCTCTAACCACTGTGCCGCGCGGTCGACCAGTAGCTACGGTAGATTCTTATGATACACGAGAAATTCTTTATCGCACTTTTTCGCAAGAGGCACCACTCAAGAAATAAATTACTCGCTTTTATTCTTTATTGCTTAAATACATGATACAGTGATGCACTTTAAAATGGTAAAATTCTTCGTTTGAATGGTACGTTTGGGTCTCTCTTGTTACATGTACATAAACATTAGAATTGATAAGCATTTGCCGCACTGTTTTAAGACACTCATCTCTCTGAGACTAGCAACGCAAGTCATGCTGAAATTGGGAATTTATGAAGTTTGGAGAGAAAGTGAGAGACGCTCCGTTCCTGTAAAACTCACGTGCACATAAACACATGACTGTATGAATTTGCCATATCTATTGAAATTATCACAACAGGAGTATTGATTGAACACGTGTTTACCCGGTGTTTATATAGACTGCTTATCTGATTGGCTACTTTATTTAAAGAATACCTGTTCAGTAGATTTTCGAGTGAAGCATGTGAGAAAATTTACGACAAATGAATGCCCTCGCTCTCTCTCTCTCTCTCGCTCTCTCTCAGTACAGACTGGCGTTTCCAACTCGCCTATGCAATAAACCGCTTTCTCCTTTTTGAAGAAATGCGCGTGATATTATGTAAAAAAAAATAACGTTCAAAAGAAAGCTCAAAACGTTTTATTCACTGGAAAGTTTTACCACTTTAATGTATTTGTATCATCATTGTAAAAAAAAATATAAACTGTTAAACAGTTCGCTCGAAAATTCCTGTTCTGTCTACGTGCCATTTCTCGATATTAAGTACTAGTGTAAACTAAGGGATCTACTTTAAATAAATTAAATTTATTATGCACCTACTACTTACCTACTTGAACTGCACCAAAAAATAACGTAGAATAAATTACAGGCAAATAATCCACCATAATGTTTCAATATAAATACAGAACACATCCAGAGACTTACAAATCTTATCATAACACTGCATAGTGTCAAATGTGATTACTGTGTCGTTTCAAGCAATGAATAAGAAATCAGTTAACTAAAAGTACAGCTAATCCTTACTAAAAGATATGAATGAAACATGAAGACAGCATGTTAATGTTAATTCACAATGTACAGTCCAAATGTGTTAAGAGCTGAAAATATATTACAAATTCCGGAATCTTAAATATTATTTCAGAATTCATATTAATACATGTACCTAAGAAAGTTTTATTTCAAAGAAGATACAAATTGCTTTTATCTCATATTGGAATGAAATATATGGAGATAACGAACAGTATTCAAGCTCAAAAATCCATTAAACAATACAAATTTTGGAGCAGAGCAAACACAAACCTCTAAACATCAGAGGTGGGATCAGGTGCCATGGAGGAGTAAGCATCTCCTGCCGACGGTCACACCCGCCGTGTGCTCCTTGTCATGATCGGGAAATAATGGAAAAATCCGTAGAACTTACGGATTAACGACTTTAAACGAGACTGCTGATATTCTTGCTTCATCAACTTGTTTGTCAATAACTTGCCTCGTTTTAGAAATTGTTCATACGTACAGCATGCTCTTGCGTATCGAATCAACTGAGAGATATAAACCCCGTATGCAGGTGATAAAGGTATATTGCTGCATAAGAAAGGGAAATTGATGATTGAAAAGTCATCACGTTTATCATAAAAGTTTGGTTGTTAGATTACCATTAACGTCTTTTTTCTAGTAAAATATCCAAATATGAAAGAGATGTGTCAGACTCTGTGGTATCTTTTATTTCATGCTCACTGGGAAATAGAATGGAAAGAACCATTGTTAATTAACAATACGTCATCGATATATCTAAATGTCGATTTGAAGGCCACAGCAAGTGTTTTTACTTTTCACGTATAAGATTTTGAACAAATTCTGCTTCATACGAATACAAAAATAGGTCTGCTAATAACGGGGCGCAATTGGTACCCATGGGAATTCCAATAGATTGTTGGAAAACCTGGTCTCCAAAAACCACATAGATATTGTCAATAAGAAACTCGTGCATCTTTTAATATTAACTTCAGATTACTTGTGTGTACAATCGGAATGTTTAGAATAATTTTGCAAATGACCATTGGTAAGGTAAGTAAATTTACGAGTTCCATTTTTGTTGAAAAAGCAGCTGTCAATGATATAAAAAAATCTGGACTTTAATTTATCGTGGGGAATGGTTGTATATATATAGTTGAAAAGTCGTAAGTTGATTTTGGTAAAATTTTGTGATTTCAAATTTTCCAAAAGTTCCTTGGAATTTTTAAGTATCCACATCTGATTTACACCATTCTCTAAAATATTGTTGCAATACTCCTGAAGCTTCTCCTTCACTACTGTTAATATTTTAGTGAGGAGTGAAGAAAGAGGCTTGGTAGAACAATTACTGGAACCCGCTATGTATCTTTGTAAGGATTTTTATGAAGTTTCGAAATCCAATATAGATATGGTAATTCAAATTGATGTTGGTTGTTGGTAATATTAAAAATATTCAACACTGACATATGATTTTGAAGAATTTCCTCCTTAGAAAGGGAGCTATGGGTATAAGTTTGATTAACACTTGTTGAATTAAATCCCAGTTCCTTTAAAATACAATTTATATAATGAACCTTTCAAACAAAGACAATGTTGTTACCCGCTTTGTCAGCAGGGACGAGCACATACTGATCGTGTAATCTATTGAATTTTTTTCTTGACTTCTAAATTACTGAACACAGAAGAATAGCTGGTTTTCATTTAGTCCCTCGGTCGCTTAATGCGAGATTTTAACATACATCCGATACATATAATTTATTCTGACAACGTGTCAATGTCTTCTTTTTCATGTTTGGCCCATCGCCTGGCGTAATCTTAACAGAATCCAAATATTTATGAAATTTTGACACCAGTTAAAAGATCATGGTTCCCTAAATTTTGGCCTTTTTAGAATTTATGATTTAAGGTCCTCATTTTTAATTAAATTTACGTCACCAGTAATAATGTCCAGCAGGACCATAGTCAATCTAGATATCGATGTGATTTTTTATAAGCTTTAGAAGCAGCCTCCGTTTAAAAGAGAAAGCTTTTTTTCGATTAATTGTATAACTTTTTTAATTCTGATTTTCTCGGTGGAATTGTCTTAATCTGAACACGTCATTCTTCTTCCCAAGCACTTCCAAATAGGAGGTGGGTCATCCGAAATGTTTTCATTATATTTTTCAAGACAACCACTCAACAGAATTTTAAAAGATACCAAATTGAAATGATGTTTTCATTTTGAGATTTGTATCGTCTTTGAAAAAATTTTTCTTAGGTATTAATGTGAATACGATAGTGTTTCCGTTTTGTGTATCATAAGAATCTACCGGTTTGCACACATTTGATCATTGAGTATAGAACAATAGGTGTGAAATATGTTTTGATAGCAATTATAGTCTGATCTCCATCTGGGATCTACCTGGAATTACCTGTTTTGCACACATTTTTTCAATACCTGAAATTCAAATTAGTTCAAAACGGGAACAAACCGTTGGGAGGGATGAATATTTGCTAACATAAGAATTTTTGGGAAATACAACTGAATATCACTCGAGTTAATAATAAGGTAGTCCCGGTTTGTTCCCGGTAATATATGTAATATATGTTTTAGGTACTATGGGAAGACAACCCTTACTTATCAAATGTATATATTCTCAAACAAGAGTTTTTCCTCTCTAATACAGGGTTTGGGTCAATTACTTTCAAAAGTAATCGATTACAATTACTTTGGATTTTAAAAGTAATCTATAACAAGCTGATTACTTCCAATTTTTAAAAGTAATTGATTACATTAGATTACTTTTCCTTCATGTAACCATTATTACTTTTGATTACTTAAGTTTTAAAAAGATTTTTTCTAGTTATTCGTTTAATGTTCATACAAGTATAGTTATCGTATGGTATTTTATTATTAAAATTATAATTTTAACGGAAATTTGGGTGTTCATGTTCATAGATCTATGCTTTATTTTTTTTTAATTTGATCATCTGAATTCTGTCCCATATATTTTAAAAATAGGAAAAAGAAGAAAGCTCTTTTCTATTAATTAAATTAAATACATGTATACATGTACTTATTGTTGAAATATGAAAATTCAATGGAAATTTGTTGTGTGTTGACAGATGGTGAACCTTTGAATTTAAACTTCTAATTGTCATAGGTTTTTAAAAGAATTAACACTTTGTTTGCTCTAATAGTTCACTATCTTTATTACCCAAACTAACTCAGAGCACCTTTAATTTTCTACTTATTCTTAACATTTTTAAATAAAACAAAGTTGTGATATGTAGTAATACCCATCTTAGTAAAAAATCAGTTGCGTAAAGATTTCTAGCACTCAAATCAGCTCAGTACGTATTCCACAGGTAAATTAGATATTCTTCTTCAAGTCAAATAAATTTAAAACCGAGTTGGTAAAGACATGCATCTAACATAAGGTCACAGTAAATTGCAAAACATTTTGAAAATACTCAATGCTTGGTCATTGGACACGATTTTAAAGATACCTGAAGACAACAAGCCCAATGATCATGAAATAAATTTCAATCACCTATAAAATATTTATTACTTGTGAACTGAAACTCTTAATTTGCTGACAACAGAAGTTTGATGATGCTAGGTTTAAGCTTTTGACTTCAGGTTAAGATGTTTCATGATCCTAGAGCCAGAAGATATGAATATAACTTTATAGGCAAATTTCTAGACTGAAAAATATCTCAACAATTGTAATCATAAAAGTAATTTAAAAGTAAGCATGATTACAAGACCTTTATCAGATTCATTGATTCAATAAGGAATACTTGTAATCAGAAAAATGGATGAATACCGATCACTCATCATTATACAGCAAACTGTAATCGATTACAGCTGATCAGAATTACTGATTACGATTATCCAATCCCTGCTCTAATATAGACTAAATAAAGTTGAAACCTCCAGATTTTGCTAAGCAATTATAACACATTAAAATAGTTTGAAAGAAAAAAAAATGTGTGCATTTTACTTTCAAATATGTGCAGAATTTATTCAAAAACTTTAACATGAGAAGACGAAAACACTTGCTTTGGCCTTTAACTCCACATTTAGATATATTCACATTTTATTAATTAACAATGGTTACTTCCATTCATTTGTCTATATCATATGACTATAGACGATAAGGACCAACTAACAACTTAACTGTATGACAAACAAGATGACTTCAGCTTTTCCATCGTTAACTTTCCTTTTTTTTATGTAGTAATATTCCGCTCTGACCTGTGTGTGGTTTTACATCTCCCAACTTATTCGATACTTAAGAGCATGCTTCGAGTACGATCAATTCTTAAACTTTCGTAGCCAACTGACAGATAAGTGAGTGTTACAGGGTTTCAACAACCTCATTTGAAGACAGCATTTCGTATATTCTTTGGTCATTATGATGACCTTGTTAGCCAATATATCCTATCATTATGTCACATGACGGACATATTTTTGCTTTTATACTAAATTTGATTACTGGATATTCTGTCTACCTGGTCATTACTTAGGTATCATGGCGGGTGTACACGGTCAACAGGGTATGCTCACCCCTCTTAGACACCTGATCCCACCAGTACCTACTTGATTTAATCATCAAGTAGAAAACCTTAAATGCTGAATAACACCCCCACCCCCCCCCCCCCAAAAAAAAAAAAATAAAAAAAAAATACGAAAGTACAAGTTGTTTTAATAATTTAATTATTATATTTGTTCTCCTATAATTTGCATATAATTTGTTACTGTTTCAGAGAAACGTCGTAAAAAATTGAAAGTATATACCAAGAAATTCTAACCAGGATTGATAAGTTTGATCAAATAAAAATTTGTAAAATGTATGTTAAATTTTAGCTAAAATGGCCGTTGTAATATTGTAAATCAATAAATTCTACTATGCGCAAAGAAAAAAATAATGTAGCAATGAAACAAATCTCAAATGAAATGCCAAAAAGAAGGTTTTTGTAAAGAAAGTTTGCGTATGTGTAGATATTAATACTGATTAAAGTTTGTTAGAGACGTTTATGCAAGTAGACACACAGGTATTCCGAACCCACTAGAAAGAACACTTCAAAACTTAAAGTATGGTCATAAATTTCTAACCAAAGTATCATAAATCATAGTGATAATCGCATTGTTGACTTTACTTTAACAGCTATTTCTATACATTATATCAAACAAAGAGACATAATTAACGACATGACTAAATCTCGTAATTAATTAAATCTTACTACAGCTACTCACAACTAGTTTATGATTTTATAAGTATTTACACTTTAAAATGACATATAAGTATTAATATGAAGGAATTCAAATGTTTATAGCTGCATCGTTTTGAAAGACAATTTGGTTTTTATATCACAAAACAAATATCGTATTTCGTCTACTCATGTTCCATGCGGGTACATGACATCCACATACTCTGAAAAAAATATTCAAGCAATAATATTAAAATAGAGTAGTTATAAATTAATTTCTTATTTGAGTGATTTGAAAATTGCCATCAAGAGCAGTATAATAATAACCCTTAAAATTATGCCTAATAAGAAGAATTGATTCGCAAAAATAAATCTAGTAAGGATTTCTATAACAATATTGTTTACAAACCATCGTAGTCTATTTTGCCGTCTTTGTTCTTGTCAGCCTTCTCCATCATTTCGTCCACCTCTTGGTCTGTCAGTGTCTCCCCCATCTTTGTCAGAACCTCTCTTAACTCCTCCTTTGATATAAATCCATCTCCATTGATATCCAGAACTCGAAAAGCTTTCTTTAAATCATGCTTGATATCATCGGGCTTTTTGTAAGATCGTTTAATGAAAGTATGGAATTCTTCAAATTCTATTGTACCATTACCTGGAAAATGGTTACTTGAGTACAAATCTGATTCATCGGCAACAACATGTATATAAAAGACAAAACAATATGTAGTTATCTTCATTCATATTGAACTTAAACCAACTTAAAAAACAAACAAACAAACAAAAAATGTATCGTATTTCACGACCATAAGAGCTATTTTCTTGATTACATTTTTATTTGTGGTGCATTTATGGGATTAATATTATATTATATAACATAATTTGATATCATTGATAATTTTTCTGTAAATTGTGAAGTATCCATGGACATATCATGATGACATTTAGGAACAAGGAAATGGTCTATCCTGTAGAATTGTTATTAGGTATGTCATTGTTAACAAAAAGGTCTACCTTTTAGTAGGTTTCTTGTACAAGGCAACATATATACACATTCAAGACTTATGAATGTATACAGAAAAAGTTTCATTCCCTCAAAAAAGATTTTAATTTCAAAATGTAATCATTTTTAATATCAATTATGAAAAGACTTCATTTTTGCTTTAAACACTAAATGCTTTCGTATGAGAATAAATTTTTGACCATTCAAAATTATTATAATAAACAGAAAGTCTACAAGAGACTACAGGCTAGATACAGACCATCATTGTCCACCTCGGAAATCATGTCGGTTACTTCTTTCATTGTAGGATTCAGACCAAGCATGCGTAGTGCGCTTCCAAGTTCTAAAGCATCTATCTTTCCGTTTTTGTCTCTGTCAAATTCATCGAATACACTCTTTGCCTCATTTGCCAAAGCTGCAAGGAACATTTATACCCAGTATACATGTATATCACAGATTCATTTTCTCTTAATTTTCATTTTAATCCACATGATATTTGAATACATTTTGGGATCATAAGTAATTAAGCTTAGGACATTCACATTTTTTTTTGAAAACTCAACAACACCAAAACGTATGACCTTTGCACTCTATACAACCATTCCTATCAAAAAATTTTAAACTAGGCTTTTTTGATATCTTAGACAACTGCGTATTCAATAAAAATGGAACTCTCGGAAATTTTCCAATCTTTTGATTGGCCATCAACAAAATTACTCTGCTAAAAATTACTCTAATTCTATTCACAAGTACTCGGAAGTTGCTATAAAAAGGATGCTGGAGTTCGTCATTGACAACATCTGTGCAGTCTTTGGAGACCAGGTGTTCGATCAAACTGTTGGAAATTCGAAAAGAACCAATTGTGCTCCTTTATTATCCGACCTGATTTTATATTACTATGAAGCAGAATTTATTCTAAAACTGCAACATGAGAAGAAGAAAACACTTGCGGTGGCCTTCAACTCCACAATCAGATATATCGACGACGTTTTATCAATTAACAGTATAGTTACTTCCATTCATATGCCGACTCGATATATCCAAGTGAATTCAAAATGAGACACCCCCGAGTCTATCACATCTGTTTTTACTGACTACAGACGATAAAGACCAGCTAACAACTAAAGTGTATGACAAGCGAGATGACTTCAGCTTTCCCATCGTCAACTTTCCTTATTTATGTAGTAATATTCCGCTCTCACCTGCATATGGTGTTTATGTCTCCCAACATATTCGATATTCAGTAGCATACTCTGAGTACGATCAGTTCTGAAACCTTAGAAGGCTACTAATAGAAAAGTTGATATTATAAGGTATCTAGTTTAAAATCAGCATTTCGTAAATTCTTTGGTAGTTATGACCTTGTTAGCAAATATATCCTTTCACTGTGTCATATTTTGACGGACATATTTCATATAAATTGTTAGGCCTTTGTTTTTGTGTTGAATTGACTGCGGACTGATCCGTCTGCCTGGACAATGCATGAGGCTCGCGGCGGGTGTTGGCGGTTGACAAGGGATGCTTACTTCTCCTAAGCACCTTATCTCACCTCTGGAATTTCCGGTGGTCAGTGTTTTCCCTGTTTACAGATTGGTATTGTTTGTAGATTTTTTTTCTTCTTAGATCGATCACTGTTCGTTATCTTCACCTTTTGCAATAATGGAATAACTTTATCTGTGGAAGATGTCGGTGCTAACATAAATAGAAAAACTGACCTAATACAGATGGTGGTGCTAACATAAATGGAAACAAACTTACCTGTGGCAGATGGTGGTGCTAACATAAATGAAAACTAGATGCTGTCATGAGACAGTAATACCCGCACTAAGGTGTTTGCCTCTAAATGCACACTCCTTCATATTGGGCTTACCAAGGAAAAAGTCCAAATAATTCTATAATTTACACAGTACATGTATTCGTCAAATCGAGCATAAAATGCTCAGGTGACCATGTGACCCATGAACCTCTTATACGCATTTCATCTACTTAATTCATTACCAGTCTGAAATATCAGAATTTAATTAATGTTGTAAATTAGGTTTTAATAAAAAGGGGGGGGGGATATAAATTTTTGGCCCATAATTGGAACTTTTTAAATTTATCTTCTCAACAACAAATAATATTATTTTAGTACAAAGCGTTTTTGATGAATTTATCAAAATGTGCAAACTTTTTTTAGTATTTGATTAGGCAAAAACCTCCTTGAAAAGCCATACCCAATCAATTTATATGTGCCCCCCCCCTCCCCCCAATACACACACACACACACAATTTGCCTGTTTTTGGAAATAGGCCTAGATGGCAAAGTTATGTTAAAACATCGTTTGTTATGATAATTTAAAATTTGTTCTTGTACTGTACATGTATGTGAACACCTTTTTGAAAATTTCTACATCACATTGGGCTTGCGTCACCCTACCAGTACTAGTACTAGTTTTACCATTATCATTTTTACACCCAAACTCAATAAATTGGTGCAATTCAAGATATTTTTTCTTCAAAAATCGACTTTTGATTATCCATCTGCTAATAACATTTTCGGATAGATCAACATATCAAGTTTGTATACCCAAAGATTTTTCAAGTTAAGTTCATTGGTTAAGAAATTACGTCAATTTGAAATAAAGGTGTATTGTTGATCAGTATTTGCTGAGAAACAAGCGTTACGTATCATATAGTAGTTTTCCTTTAAGATTTTAGGATGAAATAATATAGATTGTAATAAATCCTCAATGTCAAAAGCAAATCAGTCTATTTAATTTCGTGATAAGACAAAAAAGGTCAACTGTCATAATGTATTTTATGAATTGATGCAGTCAAATTGTCGTATTATATTTTTTTCTTCAAATGAATTTGACATATCTCTAAAATTTTATATTTCAAATATGCCTCAAGAAAAATCAAAACTGCCCAGCGCAAATGGGGGTTCTAAATGAATAGAGGATCCATTTATAGAAATGTTAAATAAAATGTTGTTCATGAATTGTGATCTTGTTCTTATTTACACTTTCAAATGCAACAACGTTCGTATGTAACGAATGTTTCATGAGAAGTAATATTTACTGTTTTTAAGATTAATTCCAACAAAATGGACCAATTCATGAGATGTAATTTCTGCTCTACTTGTGCCATGGTATTGAAAATGTCAAAAGAAATCATAATTTGAACTGCATCATATATATCATCGTGTCATATTTTCCTTGAACTGTACTATATGTACAAACGGATAAGAGATATATGTAAAATTGTCTGTATAGACGTTTTAACAGAACCTAAAATAATGTAAATAACAATTTTTCTGATGACTTTTAGCTTGAAATCATTTAACCATCAATGGAAACTTCCTTCGTATTTCTGCTTGGGTCAATGCCATAGTTCAACTAAAATGAAATGCTGAAACGTACGTTACTTAACATAAAATGCGAGTTTAACAGTATCAAAATTATAAGAGAGAAACAAAAAACCCTGATGTAGATTCAGTATAGAAACTCAAGCCTTTGTTTAATCAATATCATATGATTCAATCTAAAAATGTCTTTCAAAATAATTTCAATTAGTGTTTTTCTTCAGAATTAATGTGTGTGTTCAATAATGCGTCTCTAGAATCAGTTTATAATAAAATTTATGCAACTTAAGCTTAAAATGATACAAATCAATCTATAAAGTTTACATTCGAACAATTAGTCATGGAAGAAATTCTGTAAATATTGTTGCAATTTTGATATATGATTTGTTAAAAATTTCGTAACATTCGTTACCTTCGGTAACGAATGTTTCAACACCTTTCAAGACTAATAGATGACATTCAGGTGTAGATTGATATTGGTTGCGTAGTTGTTGTCGGTCGTTATATGAATATTAACACTAATTCATTCAATTTGATTCATTGTTATTGCATTCTAGAAAACAAACTCACCAACACTGTCTAGAAAACAAACTCACCAACACTGTCTAGACTTTAGAAAAAAATCATAAAAAGGCAGTACCGTACTCCGGATGTCAAAATTTGAATACTGGCGCAAAATATTGGACTACGTATATGTGCAGAAGATGTTTGAACTCATAAATCATTCTTTTTTAAGAGGTTTGGTAACGAATGTTTCGGTAACGGTTGTTTCATTTAATCATTTTCTCTTAAATAGTAAGCTAACAATAAGACATTGTTAAATCATGGTTGGAGCATGGAATACAGTTGTTGGATAGAAGAAAAAGTATCACATGTTTAACTATGATATCATTCTATTTCATCTATTAAACTAATACAACGAATGTTTCATGCCTATCCATACGCATGTAAAATAGGAAGATAGAATGTAATTTCAAAAAATTGGTAACATATACAAGGCTTTGTAACATTTATTTTTAATTTTCAAGAAGTTTCCTTCAAAATAAAACGTATTCCAATCTTTCAGGCATACAATACCGAATACTCATACTACATTTAATGTCACAGTCCGTTTTTATTTTGTTTCTGGCGACATGGGTATATCAAATCAAAATTTGGTAATATATTTGTGATTATGGTCAATAATTCATTAAAAGCATTTTACAAATAAATGTTTTGAAGACATATGCTATCTAATTTAAGATTCAACTGTTATTTGTACAAAAAATAGCCATTTAAGTGTAATTAGTCGATGTTGGCGACAGTAACGTACGTTTCAAAAACTCACTATATGCCAAATAAAATATCTCAATATGATTTGTTCACTTCATTTTTGTATTTTTGCCATAAAGGTTACATATTCATGCATTCATTCAAAAAGTATTTTCTTTGACATTTCATTATTTTTTTACCCTTAACCCCCAGCGACATCATTTGCACCATTTTATTGAGCTTGAGTGTTTAGATTGCACATGCCATGTGACATGGTGCAGTGTTACATGTATATCAGTGGAAATTAATTCATTTTGTGTTTTAATTGGATTATATTTCATGAAGTTGACAGGACCTATGACAGTCGGTAAGTACAAGTTTAAGTATAGATTGGGGTAAAATAAACCGAAATGCAAATGGTTAGGTTAAAGTTTAAAAAGGATCAAAGATCATCGGCAATCTCCTATGCAGAGTTGTCGTTCGTTTCTCTCTCAGACACTGAATGTATGAGCCGATCGTAGAGAGTGGATCATCGATGCCACAATAGACGAATTTCACATTCTGAAGAGTTATCTCCCGTTGTCGACATTACATTCAGTTACAGGCATAGATCCGAGAATTTTTTTCCGGGGGGGGGGGGGGGGTCCACACCTCGGTCCAAAAAAATTCCAGCCCAGAATTTCCTGAGGAGCAAAAAAAAAAAAAAACAACAAACAAACAAACAAACAAAATAAAAACAATGATGGTGGGGTCCATGTTTTTAAAGGGGGAGGGCATCCAAAGTCATTTTTATTTGCTTCTGTAAATCAGTATATAGTCCTATTTAAATAACTCTGCAAATTCCAGGGGGGGGGGGGGGGGGTTCCAATCTCCCTAGCCGCTCCCTGTCCCTGAAATGACAAATGATCATGCGACTCCTAAATAGTAGAAAATTTTTCCATTTGACTATACATAATTTTGTTTCTTGTGTTATTATGTTATGTACATCTAATGGTTTAAGGTTATGAACCCTTGAGGTCATCCCCACTCTCTTGTTCATAATATGACTACATCAAATTAAATAGAAGTGCATCAATGATAAGATTACTTGACATTTCATTCATGAATTTGGGTCAACCTAGAATTAGGAATGAAAATCATTCAAAGAGATGGACCATTAAACTATTTGTATGTATTCACATTTTTTTTTTATGTCAAACCAAAGTATTAGACTAGTTTGCATACATGAACAAACTGGGGTCTGGGAAGGGGAAGGGGCAAGGGGAAGGAGTTATCTCTTTACGTCTTAATTAATTGTTGAAAATTCCTAAAATGAATGTTAACCTCAAATCCAACTTGTACGTCTTCATTATTTTTAAGTGGTGGTGTCTCCGTATGAGTGAAAAATTCCCAAGAGGGACATTTAACAACAAACAAACATTAATGACTTAAAAAACACAATATACCTGTACATGTTTATTAGTCAATGGATATACTTCTGATCATATCTCTAGTTCTCCCTTAAGAGTTGATTAAGAGTTGAAAAGGTTGTGCATTTTAAAATTCACTAAGCTCTGTGGTTGAATTAGCTATACCAGTTTAGCTTATTTTGCTACTCAAAGCACCTTGATTAACTATTTTTAATCATACTGTTTTCTGAAATGTGAAGTTTTTTCAACATGGATACAAGTCATACCTTTTCAGCTTCTGAAAACAATTAATGCATGAAAAAAAAAACTGCTTTTCAAATACTGTAACTCTTTCCAAGTACTAAATGTGATCATCAGTTTTTAGCTCACTTGAGTTTTTCTGGTTTTCTGATCACATTTTGTTTGTCATCCATCTGTCCGCCTGTAAACTTTTCACATTTTTGTCTTCTTCACTAGAACCGCCGGGCCAATTTCAACCAACCCAGCCACAAAGCATCTTTGGGTAAAGGGGATTCAAGTTTGTTCAAATGAAGGGTCACACCCTCTTTCAAGGGGGGATAATCAAGAATTAGTGAAAATTTGGTGGTATCATTTTAAAAAAGTCTTATCAAGAACCACTGACTGGGCCCAAAAAGTTGAAACTTTCTTTACATAGACAGTGTAGCTTCAAATTTGTTAAAATTATGACCCACTGGGGTAGGATGGGGCCACATATGGGGATCCAATGATTTACATAGAAAAATGCAGGGGATTTTTTCCATCATAAATCTTCTTCTCATGAATAGCAAGGGCATTATTGTCGTCCGTTTTCACAAAAGGGACCTAGGGGACATTAAATCTCATTTGTCTGTCAGTCTGTCCGTTTGTCAGTCTGTCCGTCTGTCACAATAAATTTAACCTTGGTCATAACTTCTGAATAATAAGAGATAGGGATTTCATATTTCACATGTACATTACCTACAAGAACTTTCTAAACATACCATGATTTTTGAACCCATGACCTTGACCTTGAAGTTTGACCTACTTTTCAAAAAATTTAACATTATTTCAAATGATCATTTTGAAAGAGAAAAGATAGGGCGTTCATATTATACATGTATATTACCTGTGACAAGACCTTTCTAAATATATCATGACTTTTGACTCTGTGACATTGACCTTGAAGTTTAACCTACTTTTCAAAAATGTTATATTTCCTTATAACTTTTGATTGAGAAGAGATAGGACTTTTATATTTGACATGTACATTACCTGTAACAAGATGTTTCCAAGCATGCTATGATTTTTTACCCCTTGACCTTGATGTTTTACCTAATTTTCAAAATTTTTAACTTTGGTGATTACTTTTGAATGACATATGATAGGGCGTGCATATTTGAAACAATATGTCATAAATAATGGCATCCCATCCACTAGGACACGGAAAGCAGGGGACCACAATTCTTTGAATTTGCTTGTTAGTCATTTTGATATGGAAACATCCTCATATAGTGTAGATTCAAGTTTTTTATGCCCTGCCATGAATATGGCCGAGGCATATAGTGTTTGTCATGTCCGACTTCAATAAAACGTCATATGCTGATACATACTGATGTAAGCTTTTCAACTGCATCAAAATTTTTGACCTTGAATTTTCCTTTGACCTTGACCTTACTTTTCTTAAATTAGTGTCTAGATCAGTTTTGAATAAACAATTCAAGATATATTTATCAAACTTCATATGCTGATATAATTATACTGCTGAGAGATATCAATTGCATCAACTTTTTTGACCTTGACTTTTCCTTTGACCTTGACCTCACTTTTTTAAATTAGTGTTTAGGCCAAACAAAAAAATATGTGTGGTTCCGGTTACACTTCAAAAAAAATTAGGGTAGGTAGGTAGGGATTTTTTTTTTTTTTTATTTTTTTTTTTTAACAAAATGATTTTCTTAATTTTTTTTTCTAAATAATACCTATCACTGCTTTGCAAAATGGCATTTAGATGTGGTGTGATAATATACTAGTCAATATTGGTAGGGGACACCTACATGCTAGCTTGCTTTGGATTTAACACTATTAAACACTTTCACTATGTTTTGCAAAGAGGCCGTCATTGCTGAAACTAAAACTTAAACTGGAGCCATTGATGGAAATTGGGGGAAATTCCGGAAAAATATGAAAATTGCCAAAAAAAAGTTTAGGGTCGGGGGTATAAAATAGGGAAGGTCGGGTAACCCGAACCACACATATTTTTTTATTTGGCCTTATCTACATTTTAAATAAACCATTTCTGATATTTTTGTTGAACTTCTATGCTAATAGTAAATACATACTGATATAAGTTTTTCAACTGCATCAACATTTTGACCTCAACCTTTCCGTTGACCTTGACCTCTCTTTTCTCAAATAAGTGTTAAGCTCAGTTTTAAATAAATCATTCAAGATATTTTTATCAAACCTAATATGCTGATATGTATTAGTGAGAGCTCTTCCACTGCATCAAAAACTTGAAAATGAAAATTCCGAAACCTTACTGCACATCAACATGACACCACCAACCATCTCCCAAAAAACGATTAGGCTACTGTGTAAAATGTAAGAAGAGTTCTGGGAACCAGGGGTTTTTTGCATAAAAAACGTCATATTTCGACCCTCATTTGACCCCTAGGGTGAAAATGAAAATTCCAAAACCTTACTGCACATCTATAGGACACCACCAACCATCTCCCAGAAGACGATTAGGCTACTGTGTAAAATGTAAGAGGAGTTCAGGGAACCAGGGGCTTTTTGCTTAAAAAACGTCATTTTTTGACCCCCATTTGACCCCCAGGGTGAAAATGAAAATTCCGAAACCTTACTGCACATCTGCAGGACACCACTAACCATCCCCCAAACGATGATTAGGCTACTGTGTAAAATGTAAGAGGAGTTCAGGGAACCAGGGGCTTTTTGCATAAAAAACATCATTTTTCGACCCCCATTTGACCCCCAGGGTGAAAATGAAAATTCCGAAACCTTACTGCACATCTACAGGACACCACCAACCATCTCCCAAAAGATGATTAGGCTACTGTGTAAAATGTAAGAGGAGTTCAGGGAACCAGGGGCTTTTTGCTTAAAAAACGTCATTTTTCGACCCCCATTTGACCCCCAGGGTGAAAATGAAAATTCCGAAACCTTACTGCACATCTACAGGACACCACCAACCATCTCCCAAAAGACGATTAGGCTACTGTGTAAAATGTAAGAGGAGTTCAGGGAACCAGGGGCTTTTTGCATAAAAAACGTCATTTTTCGACCCCCATTTGACCCCCAGGGTGAAAATGAAAATTCCGAAACCTTACTGCACATCTACAGGACACCACCAACCATCTCCCAAAAGACGATTAGGCTACTGTGTAAAATGTAAGAGGAGTTCAGGGAACCAGGGGCTTTTTGCATAAAAAACGTCATTTTTCGACCCCCATTTGACCCCCAGGGTGAAAATGAAAATTCCGAAACTTTACTGCACATCTACATGACACCACCAAACACCTCCCAAAAGATGATTAGGCTACTGTGTAAAATGTAAGAGGAGTTTGAGAAATAAGAGTGTGACAGACGGACGGACGGACAGACAGACGGACGGACAGACATGAGTAACAACAATATACCCGAACTTTCTTTAGAAAGTGCGGGTATAAAAACTTACCTGTAGCAGATGGTGGTGCAAACATAAATAGAAAAAACTTACCTGTAGCAGATGGTGGTGCTAACATAAATGGAAACAAACTTACCTGTGGCAGATGTTGGTGCTAACATAAATGAAAAAACTTACCTGTGGCAGATGGTGGTGCTAACATAAATTGAAAAATTTACCTGTGGAAGATGGTGGTGATAACATAAATGGAAAAAAATTACCTGTGACAGATGGTGTTGATGACATAAATTGTAAAACGTACCTGTGGCAGATGGTGGTGCTACATAAATTGAAAAATTTACCTGTGGCAGAAGGTGGTGCTACACTATCTCGGTGCTCCAGTGACATTATAAATCCCTGAAATAGAAAATTACACACACACTTTATATTTTTACAAGTCAAATAACTATTTTATCTATCATCAAAACTAAACGTTTCAAGGTTATATTCTTACTTCCATTTCCAAATGCAAGTCTTTTACTTAATTAAATCCACCTGTGTAGTGTAGTTTATTCATAATTACTCTGAAACAGCCATGCACTGTGCGCTTCGATTTAAACTTTTACTTTTAGACGATAACAGCTTACCTGATGATGTTCACTTTATATATATCTTTTCTCACACGGTGTTTGGATATCCGATTTACTGTGTCACCTCTCATTGATTCGACCGACGGCTGTTGGATATGTCAGTCAGCCATAGCAGTTTAAAACCCCCTTCAAAGCTATAAATGTCGAGCAATAATACCGGCAGTGTCCATGGACACTGCATATTTTTAAACATTGTATATCTCAAGGACAATGAGTTTGTTTAAATCTGCGTGCTGTTTTTTTTATTTCTATTATTAAATCTTCAGGAGGATCAAAATACTTTAAAATTACATCATTAAACAATCTGTTAATAAGTACGAGTATTTGCACTTGACACTATCAATCTCGTGAAACTATATTGCATGAAATATGACACACTTTTTTTCCTTATGTAGCAGGTATTTTATATCGTCCTTTCTGTGTGATGTTCGTGTCTGCTTAGGTACAATGTAGCTCGGCTGATTAATAAAACACATAGATTTTTTAAAAATTCTTTTAGCAAGAAGTTAGCACGAGAAATACACCTTAGACTAGGAAGAAAAGTCATCAGAAGTTTTTATTTAGGGGCACAAGCATATACTATCTATATTTACTACAGTAATCTGTATATCGGCAAAATTATTGGGGGAGAGTGGGTGCACGGTTCCCCCATGCCCCCGGTTCCTACGGCCATGTTAGTCGTATGCATATTTTATAATAATCTCAGTTGGCTGAAAGGAAACCTACATTATAAATTCGTCGAAATATTTGTTTTTATTGATTGCGTGTGTCTGTATATCTAATCTAACCATAAACATTAGAGACTTAATTTATCTGTATCACACAGTCCAATTTTTGACATCATGATTTCATTGGGACTTCATAAACGTATTAGGAAGTCCAAATACGCCCTATCTGCCAATAAAAGTCGGTGTGTAAATGCATGTCCAATGAAAACAACAAGGATGTCTTAACTTTGTTCAGAGTCCAAACTAAAATTCTCAGATTATGACAGGGTAGAGGAGTTATGTTTTAATTACGCTGTATTGTTGTATATTATTCTCAATTGATTACTTTAACAAACGTAAGTATAAACTTTCTGGTTTTGTTTTACAATTACAATGAAAAAAATGGGTGAGAATAATAATGTTAAAGAATAAAATTGAAAGAAAAGTTTTAGTGGGAAAACATTTGTGACAATAGATACTGATTACTAATAATCCGTATTTAAGATTAAATCATTTAGCAAACAATTATTTTTCAGACCCTTCTTTAATTAACAACATGGCCGCTGGGTCTGATGGTGATGTGCTCTATCTTCGAGAGAATACCTCTGGCCAACATATTGTGCAATGTGGCATATGTCCAAAAGAAAACATGATAGGTGCAAAGTTTTACTGCTATGATTGCAATGAATTCCTCTGCATTAAATGTAAAGATTCTCATTTTCAAAGCCACAACGTTGTAGAATTTATAGGACTTGGCAAATTGAGCCTATATCTGAAGCCATGTAAAAAATGCAACAAGAAATCTTCAGAATTCTGCAGAGATTGTAAGGTGTCACTATGTGAAGTATGTGCGACTCATCTCCAGAGTGGGCACACTAATCATGTTTTAATTAATAAGAAGAATCTTATAGAAATGCGAGAGCAATGTATTGAAAAAATTTCCAATGTTCGACAGAGCATCTCTTACCATTGTCATAATCTTAATGCGGATATAGAGGAAGATGTTCGAAATGTAAAGAACCAAATAAACAAAATGAGGGAAACTGTGGATGAAAATACGGAACGATTGAAAAACATGATAAAAAATGTGAAAAGAGAATCACATGAAGAAATACAATGTCTGGAAAAGACTTTGATGCATGCATTTAATCGCCAAAAAGAAATCCTACATACCCACATGCAATATTTGTATAAAACTATTGGTGAATTTGATGATCTTAAACATTGTACAACCCCCGAATCTGTCATTGAATTCCACGAAAAAATTATATCCAAAACGTTCCACATACCTGATCTAGTCAAACCCGGACTTCCTTCATTCAAGTCTGAACCATCTATAAACACCGAAAGCATTGAAAAGTACATAGGAAAAATCACGAATACTGAACCTTACTTTGAAGAGTTAAGAGTTTGTCAAGACCACAAAATATACTGTGGAACTGAGAAAGAAGCACATTGTATTGGAATAATTATTATAAGCAGTACTCCAAGTCTTCAGGGTTGTCGTCACATATCTCTCGCAGACGATGACTACTTTTGGGTCAGTGATTATTATGGTAATCTTATGCTTGCTGATTTGAATGGGCATGTCTGTAAAATTGAAATCACAAAGGACAAATCTTCAGGTTTTCACACTGTTGCAGCAAATGGGGATTTATTTTGTATCAACGAAAGGAAGAAAGAAGTATTGCGAATGGTTAAAAATGATAAATATGACCCAGAACAGAAAGCATTCATTTCTAATCCGACTTGGAAGCCTGTGAGTATTTATTGTTCTGAATATTCAGGTGATATATTAATTGGATCCTTAAAAGACAAGAGACTTGGAGCAAGGATAACTAGATTTGACAAAGCTGGAAAACAAATTCAACAGATACTTTCTCCAGATTATATTGTTCCCCATTATGTTACTGAAAATTACAATGGGGATATATGTGTCTCAGACTGGAAAAAGTGCGCGGTTATTGTCCACCACAAATGTGGTGATCACCGGTTCACCTACACAGGGTCCCATCCTTATAAGAAATTTTACCCAAGTGGTATCTGCTGTGATCTGCTTCGAAATATATTGGTATACGATGGATACAGTAAATCTGTTCTAATTCTGAGTTGTGATGGAAGATTTCTATCCGCACTCATAAATTTACAACCTGAATGGACCGGGTTTTGGTGGCATACGAGAGGGCTTGCTATAGACAGTCAACACAATCTCTGGGTCGGTGAAAGCCATTCCAATACAATCAAAATTTATTCATACCTCAAGAAAATCCAAGATTCCTCCATCTAATTGTCTGTGTAATTTAAAAGCCAGAAACATTTCAAGAAAAATACTTTTATTTCTTAGCTATAACCCATGATGCTATCATGTATATACTTCTATGAATTACCATTTTTGGACTCGTGCTTACATGTTAGTATAAACGTTGTTTTTTACATGCACAGATGTGTTATTATTTTAAAAGTCACTGTACAACCAGACACGTGCACTTCATTGCTGGAATCTTAGTATCCTTCGATACTGAAAATGTGTCATAATAAAACTGCTTCAGAAATAGCATGAAGCTTTTACCTTAATTTGAATAAACAGTATTATACTCACTCAATCACTCAAAAAAAAAAAATGTTTTATATATATATATATATATATATATATATATATATATATATATATATATATATATATATATATATATATATATATATATATATATGACATTCAAAAAGTGTCATCAACTACAAAACAAATTTATTTTATTTAAACCACATGGATATCAAGCTGAAGCTTGATAGTAACATGTGTAACTCCTTTTATGTCATGTTGAAAGAAAACCTACGGAAGCCCAGTGATTCCAGAATAGGAGAATATTTTATCTTGCGGCCGCCAATTGCTTTTATATGTATCTGACGATGGTGATAAAAGCTGAGTGGCAGCCAACAAATAATATTTAAGCGGCTGCCAAATGAAACACATTGTCGATTTCAGATATTTTTTTTTGTACAAAATCTAATTTGGGTACTTCCCATTTGCATCCATGCACATCACTGCGACATATTCTACAACACAAAAAAGTGTTTAGTTCGAATAGTTAAGTATTGTAAGTATGATCATTAAAAATAATAATGATTCTTTTTCAGTTTAATTTGAAATGAATATTTCTTTGAAATATATTATTTTTATTATTAACTACATCAAATTTGAAATATCTTACCCTCATAATTAATTTTTCCATCTCCGTTGAGGTCCGCAGTTCGAATCATTTCTTTAAATTCCTGCTCGGAGAGACACTCTCCCATTTCAGTCATTGCTGATTTCAGTTCCATAAATGTTATAAACCCGTCACCATTTTTATCAAATACTTTGAACGCTTCCATCAAGTGACACCTCAGCTCCTCAGGGTGTTTGTACGTTATTTTTACGAAGTGTAGAAATTCATTAAAATCTATTTTATGATTATCTGAAAGGAGAACGCCATTTTGAAGAAACATATATGTACATTGTCAGTAAGACGTAGCTTTTGAATTATTGTCCCTAAAAAGAATTTTTTTGTTATACTAAAATCTACGAATTTTGAAAATTTGAAATGAATTTGAAAGTTGAATTAACTTTCTTCTTAAATAAAGCCTTACAACACCTTGTATCAGCCCTTGACTATACTAAGTACCAGTCCTTAGGCTTTCGGCCCTATCGCTGATATAAAAAGGGTATATTCTCTCTCTCTCTCTCTCTCTCTACACACACACACACGCACCCTCACACACACATGTATTACAAGTTTGCAACATTTTAGAAAATGTTTTAGTCTATAAAAAATGTATGTAGCTCATATTTAACACATATGATAATAAAAGCAGAAATCTAAATATTTACTGTCTCTATCCACTTCTTCAATCATCGACCGTATCTCTTTAAGGGTAGGATTCAGACGAAGTCTTCGTAATGCTGTCCCGAGTTCAGACTCATCAATAAAACCGTTCCCATCTCGGTCAAAATCTTTAAAAACTGCTCTGGCCTCTACAGATTGTGATATTTTAAGCGCATATATATATATATATATATATATATATAATATATATATATATATATATATATATATATATATATATATATATATATATATATATATATATGGTTGTGCCATTTAGTAGACCGCTCATATTTATATATTGGCATTAAGTAGCCTCATAGAATAAGTAGACCAAAACCGGTCGCCTTAACATTTTGACCCTCTCTGAACAGAAAATTAATGGCTTTTTAATATTAAATTGACAATAGTTAATTTTAGTTAAGTATATTTTTGTCCCTTAAATACCAAAAATATGCCAAAAATTTATGATTATAGAAATTTTTAAATTTAAATTTCAAGCAACGTATATATTGGTATTATTATATATCGTCATTATGTAGACCAGCTAAAACTTGCAAAATTAAATAAGATCTGCTATATATGTCTTATTTCTCCTAGTATTTAGTTTTAGATAATGTTCTCCCACTAATTTTTGGTATGTACAATTTGCTAAATAGAATAAAACTTTTTACGAGAAAATGAGTTTTAGAGTTTCGTGTTCATCAACTTCAAGGTTTTCGTGCGCAATGCCTTCCGAAAATTTTCGGAAATCCTCGGTATCCTTTACGACCTTCGGAGAAATAGGAGTCAGACAAAATTTTGGTAAGTAATAACAATTAAATTATGATTTTTTAAAAATACTTATTCATGATACATTGACTATATACTATGCACCCAATATCTAAATAAACGTCTGGTATTTATTCATTGATAAAGACTTACGTATACTTATTAGCATGGAGGGAATTCGAATTGTAGTTTACCAACAGCGTGGTTTCAACAGATCGTTAACAATTGATTACTTGAACAAAATAATTGTAATCTGTGCTTATTCATAAATATATAAATAGCATAATATTAGGTTGGTGGTATCGTTCTTGAAAGGGGGGCAGAGATAAATTAAATATTCGATAATTTACCTGAAATACTAACTCTAATTTCCTATTATACGTGGGGTAGGGTTGGGTTAGAAATGGGAGTAAGGTCTTTTTAGGTTCATACATTTTTCACAGCTTAATCCAACCAGCCTTTCCTGAACAATTTTAATAGTAAAAGATTAATTGGGGGAGGGAAGGAGCCCCCACCCCCTCCAACCACGATACCACATCTCTGATGTCTATGGCAGCGGATACATGCATGCATATATGTACATACAAATTTATGTATCTGACAGCATCCCTCTTAGATTTCTTGTACATAAAACATAAAGTTGATTTGGACAAGCCCAATATAGCAACAATTTTGAAATATCTTTAAAAATAAAGAGGAATTAAGGGCTACAAACTGCTAAAAAATTCAAAGGGACCAGATTAATATTTTTAATCGGGTTAGAAGTGGGGTTTGGGTGCAGGATGGGTGGAAATATTTTGTGGTGTATATTCCATATAGGCAAAAAGGCTGTAGGCTACTCATAATCTTTTTTAAGGATAGAAATTTGGTTGAAAAGGGGGAAGAAAAGTTGATGATAAATGTTATCTATTAATTTCATTTTGTTGCAAATGCAAAAAAAAAAAAGCATTTTTGACAATGCGCATTTTTGTACCCATACTTACAGTCTAACTTTCTGTTTAATGACAAAAATATTCCTATAACTGGAAATAAAAATTAAGCCAAAATTCAAGTGTTATATTAGGTCTGCATCAGCCTCCTTGCTTACCCATTATTTGCGCCTCAAGTTAAATCTGTGACATCACACTAGCCGACACATTACATGTAGTAGAAAGTAATAATATTATTATACGCCAATGATATTCTAAACAATCTATTGCACTGTACCTTTTGGCATGAATGGAGGATTAATTAACAGGTTATATCAGTGATGAGCATATCAGTTAATAGTTATATGTATTACACTTTCCATGATTGAGTAACAAAAGATACACTGTATAATTTTTGCAATATTTTTTCTATAATAGTAGACTCAGTTAACATCACCACCGTTAAAGAGTTTCGATCTACAGCACTGCTGATTTAATTTCCCAGATTTTATTAGAGATCTACAAATACCTTTACAGGTCACTTAATTAGTATCTCAAGTTTAATTGGGCAAATGAGAATTTTGTCTTTAACAACTTAAATGACTCAAAAATGTATTGCATGTTCAACATGTTCAAGGCAAATGATTTCCTTTATCATGAATTTATTCTAATTTTATTGGAGAATATATATTTATAATTATGAAAGTACTAGTAAATTAAATCAGTCTACACATAAGTAAAAAATTACCTCAACTATTTGAATTACTTTGCAGAATTTATTGCATTGTCTTTATTACTTAACAATCATGTAAAACTTTATTTCATGGCCGTAGTAGGAACGGAGGGGTTGGGGAGGGGGTGCCCCCAATAATTTTGCCGAAATATAGAATACTAAAGAAAACATAGCTACTATATGCTTGTGCCCCCTCAATAAAAATGCCTGATGACCTTTTTTTCTTTTTTTTTAAAGCTTGTCAAGGAATTTTTGGTTGTTAGTGCCCCTCAAAGAAAATGCATGGCTGTCCCCCCTCCCCCAAACTGAAATTGCTTCTTACGGGCCTGTATTTACTGATTTTTTTTTAAATGTTTCATTTATTTATAAACCTATTACATGTAAGTGTTTCATTTTGAAAAGAAATATTAGAAGATAATCATAATTTCAGAAAGAAGTTGAAATTAAATAATAAAAGAGACCCTAAGAAAAATTGCTTGTTGTCAAGCTTGAACAAGTCCTGATTCATATGAAACAGATCCTGAGCAATTTAAGCTTCTTTTTTTTTTCATATAATGAAAAAAATTACTGTTTATCTTATGCAGTTGCCATGGAGAAAATAACTTGCTTATCCTCTCAATTTAGTTATAAAATCATATAACAAGCAATAATTTTTTCTATTTTAATAAAATTGTTATGCAGAGTCTACATGTATTACTTGTATTTCTACATATGTACATTAGAGGCTTTCGGTCGGGTTCGGTTTAATTTTGATCGGGTTAGTTAATACATTGTTGAGTCTTGATCAGCATGGACATGGTTTGACTTTGATGGTATGATAATGTTTTTACAGTTTCAATTTCTAAACTTTCCAGGAAAGTTTCCTACATTTTGTACAATGGCTATTTATATCCCGTATATTTTCCCATGAATTATTTTTTTTTTTTTTGAAATTATGTTTTAAAATTCTGACCAGATCTGCAGATTTCTGGGGAAATTTTTAACTGCCTAGGGTGAGATTTATGACAGACCGAGACATATAAAACCAAGTCTCTGAATAAATTAGATTTTGTTGACTTGTTTGCATTTATTTTTATTATAGTGTGTTTGGTACCACATAACATGCGAGAATACCTTCTCCAGTATGTTGGAGAGAAGATTAGCAAGAAAAAGCGGGTGAGAAAATGAGAAGTTGACAGAAAAAGATTTTTTTCATTATCGAAAGGGACATGTACAGCATCCATAATGGTAAGAAAAGAGAATTATTTATAGTCATATTTATTTGTTTCTATAATGTTTCTTTTGATAACTTTTCACTCATATTGAAAAGCCAGCACTTGAGAACCAATACTCTGTACGCAGGACCCTTGAGCAGTGAGTAATTTTGTTCATGCCAGCACCTACTACAACATGGGACCTCAGTTTCATTTGAACACCAGTCTCCACATCCTGCAGTGGGATTCGAACCCGTATGTGAGGATCAACTCCTTTATTATCTGCGACTCTATTCTAAAGCAAACACTTAAACCACTGCGTCATGCAAGCAGCTAGTCATACATGTATTCCTTATGATGTGAGCTAGCATTATGAAGATTACATGTTCTGTAGATCATAGGTTGCTAAATAGTTCTTTGTATGTTGTGCTAAAAAATATGGTGTTCATCAATGATTCATTTTGGTGTGCGTCCTGCATAAATTATGCACAAATTTTGCTCAGGACGCATTATTTTAATAAATGTGCATCCCAATGGATGCAATTAATTTATAGAAGAACGTGTATTATTTGGTATAATTCGATTCTAAACTTGACCGATTGCATCATATCCATGTGCTAAGCGATATACATGAACAATTTTAACAGGTATATATAAGGTTGCCAACAACAGGTCAGAGTTCACAATTGCAGCCAATAGGGCTGTGTATTGAGCAAAATATTTCGATACAATACAATATGATATTTTATAAAGCGATATGCGATATATTGGATTCTTTAACAAGTCTATCAAAAAAGCCTTGTACATTATTTAATCCATAGATTTGATAAAAACTGGGTGTTTTATTACCAAATTGGAAGTTCATGTCTCACTGTCTTTACAGAGTACACTTCAAATTCAAACTTTTAATGGTTGTAAAACTAATATGTTAAAATATAGTTGTCTATGTACTTTGCAATAGTTATTTAAGATGTGATATCTCCTTAATGCTTATTTCATTACTGATCATTTTTAATTCAAAACAGTTAAAAATAACCTTTGGTGACTGAAATTCCCAACTTTTTCACAGAATTATAAGAAAATCTGCCTGCCCGATACATATTGGAAGTTATTTTTCGATACGATACATTCCTGAATATTCGATACGTATTGATTAATAGATATATTGACACAGCCCTAGCAGCCAATTAACCAGCAATTATCAGAAAATATTTGAAAGTTAGATAGCATAGTTTGATTATCACTGATTATGTCTATACTGTGGAACATTTCTGAAGCGAATACTAAACCTTTGTAAAAGCTATACATGTAACCTGTATCATTTTTTTTTTCCTTACAAGCTAAGAAGTTTAAAATTTAATCATTTTTATTTCTGACTGTTTTTTTCATTTCTTCTTAAAATTTCTTTGCTTCATTCTGCTTCTCTGCATTTTATGACTGATACATTACAATGTGTGAGATCGTATGTACGATCTAAAAATAGAACCAAAGTGCACAGTTGACAATATATTATATTTATGACACAAAATCATGTACTCTTACTT